TATTAAGACAAGTTTAGTCTTTTCAAAAAAGGTTGCTTAATATCAGCGAATATATAGTTTTTATGTAATGATACCATATAGAGTATGCATGACGCACTAGTAGTTTTTAATAATTGTAGTATTTTTCTTTTAGATTTACAACAAAAGAAACTTAGTCTAATTTATTGGTACATTCTAATTTGAAGATACCAGCGATGAGAATACATTAATTGAATACATGCATGTATTCATAATATCATTCATGAAAGGTGAATTGAAGTCTATTTAATGTGCAATTCCAAAGCGCGTAACTCGATTATGATTTATTTAGTTTACAAGTACTTCGGCAATGACTTTTAATGAATTGAAATACCTATGTAATTTTACGACACTTGGAAAGACTTTGTACATTAAAATCAGACAGAGTATCCTATTTTATGTGCTTCGATATGTAATCTCAGTCTCAAATGAGTTTTATTACCTGCGTTGTATGTAACCTCAGACTCAAGTTTTCAACTGAGTACCAGTACGTGCAAGGGCCGTAACTAGACATCGGAAACAGACGAGGCAGGGGTTTGGGGGCCGCCGATTGAGGCCCCTAGGTTAATAGGGGTCCAGGGGGACAAAGCCCCCCGGCCGAAAATTGTAATATTAGGGTCCGAAGTATAACTTGTTACATCCGTTTTTGTTTCATATTTACCGTATGAAGAACTGCATTAGGCTATCAGAGCCGGCTGGCAGATACTTGCCTTGAATTTTGTACCATCAAACATGCATCAATTTACAGTAAGATACATGTTTAATAGTAGAAAAAGCGGGACAAGTGTGTGGTCAACGCTTCATTAAAAATAACACACATTTTAATAAAGCCCAAAGATTTGAACCTATAGTCATGGTAGTCACTGTATGTGAATGCTAGTTCGACCTTTCTTGTGCCGCTAAGATCCCATTGTTTGAGAACAGCTTCTGCGTTCACTTGCTCGACATTGTCCGTACCAAGGGTTTGTATAGTCTCACTATACAAATCATTGTCCGGTCATTGTTGAGCTGCACCTTGTCTTTATAAAACGCCGAAGGGCAGAAAAAGATCTTTCACATGAGCAAGAACCGACCGACAATGTCAATTGTAGCTTCTCCTAGGAAACCAAAATCTCTGACGTTCGAACTTGTTCAAGAGACTTTTTCGCGGGAAATGAATAATTGCAGAACCAAATGCTGGTTTTCTGGCGATGGTAATGAGGCAGAAAGTTCGATACCTAACATAGTAACATAAATCTGGAATCTGATAGTTAGAGATCACAAAATAAAAAAAAAACACTTAAATATATCAATTTACTCCACTGAATAAAGATCGAGAACCACACAGACAAGTATGCAATTTGTATATTTGTTCTGAAAATAAAAATTCGATCACCTGAACTAGGCTTTTATCCTTGAGCCTTACTGTCAAAAAAAAGATCAAAACCAAAGCGTCAGTCCAGAAGACCAGAAATGCAGAGACAAACCAGGGGACAATTAAAAGGAACAATGGCATAACAAAGGACAAGTTAACGCTGATAACTAGAGACCTGAATTAGACTTACAAGACTTAGTGTCTTTTTGATCGAGTTAAGCCATTTCAATTGATATTTTATAGTGTGTCTTTTTATGTTGTAATGTTACACTACTGTTTCAGGTTAGGGTGAAGGTTAAAACGTTTGAACCCGCTGCATTTGTATGCACCTGTTTTAAGTCAGGAGCCTGTTGTTCAGTGGTTGTCGTTTGTTGGTGTGGTTCATAACTGTTTCTCGTTTTTATATAGATTAGACCGTTGTTTTTCCTGTTTGCATTGTTTTACTCTAGTCAATTTGGGGTCCTTTATAGCTTGCTGTTCGGTGTGAGCCAAGGCTCCGTGTTGAAGGCCGTACTTTGACCTATTATTGTTTACTTTTTATACATTGTGACTTGGATGGAGAGTTGTCTCATTGGCACTCATACCACACCTTCTTATTTATATGATGTCATAAATGCTTTTTATCAGATACCTGTCTGACCAGCGTTTAATTTTGTTGCAAATATCAAAATTTCCAAAAATTCAAAAACAATATCAGCCAGCTATTTCCAATAAGCTGTCGTTTTAAATTGTAATGAATTATGGATTTTTTAAATATGACTCCAATATGATGGTCTTTTAATGCAACAGTAAGTGAGACATTTTGCGTTTTTTGTTGTTGCATTTTTTCATTTATTGAAACTCAGACGGAGGAATAAATTATAATGCCGGCGAAAGAGTCATTTTGTCTCTACAATTCCCTTCTATTGCAGTTCTTTTTGTTGTCAATGGTTATCCTGGTCACAAACTGTTTGATAGGTGTTATTATATATAATTATTGCTGACACAATGTGGATGTAGAAATAACTTCGTCTGCACTAGCGGACGAAATGACACTTCAAGATTTTTTTTAACTTGTGCAAGATCATGTTTCGGAGGGAAAATGCTAATGCTTACGATGTATAGAATTGGCATGGCTCAGATCAATGAAACAATTCCGATTACGATCATTTTGACATTTTATACCCCAATATTCTCTATTCTTTATTTTTTTTTTGCCCATTTTTCTCTATTCTTTATTTTTTTCAAATTATTCTCAATTCTGTTATCCCTATCCACACCCTCATCAATATATATATTGAAGTTGTTACTGCAGGAATTTATTCGCATAGCGTCATGTTAAACAAATTTTATACAAAACTCCTACAGCCTACTGTGCTCGCGTTTGCTGTTTTAGAAGGGTAATGGTAATATTAAATGGACATTTTGTTTTTATTTCGATTTATTTTTATTGTAACTATTGACCAGAACGCTTTATTGTAAATTTACAATTAATAGCGTTCTTGCTAAAACGGGACAAAAATCAAGAAGATCCGTTTTCCGTGTTTACAGGGGAGGTAATATTTTGACACTATAGGCAGCTTTCGTCAACCGTATGGTCGTTGAATGCGCAATTAAGTACGTGCAACTTATTTTTTTTAAAGTCAAATATTTTTGAAACACTAGTATATTGATTATTCTTTTTATTGATTTTCTTACTGTTATAAGAATTTTGTCATCTACACTCAGTATTAAACTGCATAGACATTGTAGAAGAAAAGCAAGAATCTGCAACTATAGTTCCGATCACAGATGATTCTATGTACAAGAGATGTGTGCGCAAATACACGGGTTTCAGCTGGGCAATTGCACAGGAAAAATTCTTGTATATTGATAAATTTTGCGGCATGCATTTGTTGAATTGCTATCGCTGAACAATGGACACGAATGCAAGATTAAATTTTGCGCTTTCATGACAGTTTGCATACAAATAATGCTTTAAAAGAGGGTCTGGGTGAGAGGTTTACAGAAAAGAGAAAAATAGGGCAAACATAGAAAATACAGAATAATGTTACAATATATAGAAAAATGAATAATGGGCAAAACTATAAATAGAGAAAAAATTCCTAAACTTTGAAAAAATTAAAGAATACAGAAAGGAACAGTGGGATATCCAGTGAACGAAAACAAGAGAAAATTCGCTCTTCTTATGATAGAGTCGAGAAAGTCAATAATAAAACAATACCGGTGACGATACTGATCAAAGGTTATTTCTAAATAATAATTGTACATTGTATAAAAGAAATTATTTGTTAAACTGTGTTAATAGAAATATACGTGCAAATACACGATGTTTTATGGTCACTGAGTATTTATCGAGATAATTGCTTTATAAGCTTGTGAAACTGAAATTTAAAAACTGCCAATCTTTGCTGCATATTGATAAAAAAAAAATCGGAAAAAATCATGTACATACAAAATCGAAAGATCGTTCGGGTCACCAATTTTCTGAGTGTTCCAAAAAGTCCTTAGCATGTTACAGTTTCCCAAAGTATGCTTATTTTTTCACACCTAAGTTATCGAGCACACCAGGTTAAAAAATTAAAGATAACTATTTTTATAAAGTAGGTATCTTTCTACTCTTTTGTAAACAATTTTAAGAAAAGTCGTCTCGAGTTTCGAACAAGTATTTGCGGTCTTCTCGATCTATTGACATTCAATGTTTACATCGAGATAAGGTCTGTTTGATTTTGCTTAGTAACTTAATTTCAAAAGTGCCAATCTTTGCTGCATATCAATCGATTCCTTTGGAATTTTTCCCTGACTTTCGCTGATCTAGCTGTATATATATACGAATAATTAGCATGTTCCAGAGAGATATACAGACAGTAAAAAAATAAATTGAATTGGTACTCCAGGAATTTATTCGCATAGCAACATTTTAAACCATTTTTACTCCAAGCATCTATAGCCTGCTGTATTCGTCGTTTGCTACATAAGGAGGAAAATGGTAACATTGAGTGGAAGTTTTATTTTCAATTCAATTTATTTCTATTTTAACTATTTACCAGAACGTTTTTCGGTGAATCCATAATTGATAGCGTCCTTGCTAAAATGAGACAAATATTGAGAAGATCTAGTTTTCAGTGTTTACAGGGGAGGTGATATTTTGTCACTAGATTTCCCACTGGGAAGGGCTGTCACGAAATCCTGAGAAGTTCCTTCATAATATAATTAGTTCCAAGTGGAAAAAAAACATTCTTAATATTATTTCCACTGGACCAAATATAATAGTATTTGTTCCGCACGGAATAAAGGTTATAGAATATTAATTTTGTTCCAACAGGAACAGATATTATGGCAAAGTTTATAACAGTTTCCAGTGGAACTTCTGTTAGTGTTAGCGGAACAAATATGATCAAATATACGTTGACAGGACACCCTCCATCTCTTAGAAATTAAACATACAAGTTCTTATTTTTGCAAAAGTTATCCCGTCCAATAAAAAATCATCGCAATTATAATTATTTGTTACAGACACACAGACAATGAAAAGGTGTTGACACGTGTAGGTCCTTGTTTTACTTTCGTTTTCTCCTTAGGCCTCAAATTTGCATATTTCCCAGAGTTCCCGGGGAGTGACATAGAAACAGGAAGTACTTTGTATGTCAGAAATATTATTGGAAATCACCGTAATCGTTGACTCATTGCTTTTAATACTGTCTTTGTTCGGGACTTTTCGATAGCAATATTTACATTGTTATTTATTTGAAATCAAACATAGAAGACTTATAATTCATCGTGTTGAAGTAAACCTGTCAAATATCATCGAAACTGAAGAAAGCCGCTCAAGCAAGTCGTTCATGTTGTGAACCCACTTGTTGGTTTGTTCAATACACATTTTTTTTAATTTCGATTAATAATTGATCTTTATATGTTTTTATTGTTCATAGTGGCAACCATTTTTTTGTTTTCAGTATCATGTCATTTTAAAAATTATGAAACTGGCCTGTCAAAAAATTTATTTTGGGTGTTAACTAGAGGTAAAGGCCCGAGTGATCGTTCTTCCGCACGTGTAGGCTTCCGTAACCTCCGCCATTTTTGTGGCGCTGAAACTCGTCTGCAACCCCAAAAACATCGTAGTTCCTTTAGATTTTCTTTAAATTTTGATTTAGACAGGTATTTCAGTTCTATTAAAGACCACATTCTATTAATTATTCTTGATTTATGCTTGAAATTACGCTGCAGTTGTATTTTCTTTGTGTTTTACCAGATGTCCAGTTGCACGGATTCTGAGGGTCCTCCTGCCAAGAAACAGAGACAAAATAACATAGAACAAAATACTGAAAATTCCGCCTCAAATTCTGTTATAAAAGAAGTGAGTATATTTCAAAAGACGCGAAATATATATGGTTCAAATACAAAATGAAATATGCATGGATCGATAATTACCTATGTGCGCGAAATTTTTTATATTTCAGAGACCACTTTAAAGACTTTTAAAAAAAACTAAGTAATTTAATGTTGATAGTGCTCATTAACAGGTTTGACAGCTATTTTTCATCAGAGGATATGCTTGTGCACAGAAAACTAAGATTTATTAATCAACATGTTTTAAGTTACCAGTCTGATAGTGATACATTTTGTAATAGCACCTTACACTAATTTTGAGTTCCAAGATTTATCTCCTACTTGCCTATGTTTTTGCAAAGGTTGACCTAATGACCTTTTCAAAACAATCACATTAAGACTGACACTTAAAAACTAGGAATAATAATTCATTTTCTTCAGTGGCAGACACACTTGAGTTTGGTGTATTATCATGATTATACTTTGTTGAATTGCTAAACAGTACACACATTTAAAGTTGGGGCCTTACTTTGTCAGTGCAAGATTGGTAGGATGTAGAACACTTAACTTTGTATGTCTTTTACAGTCCATTGGTTAAGCCAAAAATAAATAGGGCTAGATAGGTACTGTTACAGGTACATGTAATACATTTTGTTTATTTAAATATTTTTCATAGATTATTTAAGAAAATGTTCTAAACTTTCACACAAATATATGTGGACTTTAACCATGTTAACAGTGCTTCACCAAAAACGTCCATATAATGTGCAAGGGTAGGTAGGGAGACATAAAACATGGTTTATATTTTTTCCCTTGGATTTGGACCCTTTCACCACAAGATTAAAGTCCCTGCTTTTATTATATGTCCCCAATGGCCATAGTGCATACAGAGTTAAAGGGAAACATCAATCCTACATGTCTTGGGGGCATGTGATAAGTTTTTGTTTCTTTTATTTGGATTGCAAATGAAGCACCTGACATTGAAGCTGCTTCATTAAATAAAAAACTTTTTATATCCAGCAGTAGCAGCAGTCCTAATAAAGTTATATGGAGAAGCAACTCCAATTAATTTTTATGCCCCCGCCATAAGGTGAAGGGGGCATTAAGTGTTACCCTTGACCATCCATCCTTCGGCCCGTCCCATTTTCTTTTGAAAAGCAAGCTTGAGCAGGGGCATTCTTGTCCTCAGACACATTCTCCTTTTATATTTACTCATCTTAATCTATTTGTTTGGATTTTTTTTCTTATGAAAAATTGATGCATGTATATTGATTTCATTTTTGTAGTCTAATTTATGACTGAATTTTTTACCGTAATCACTACCTTACCTAACTACATACTGACAGCCCCATGTTTTGAAGAAGTTAAGTGTTATGAAGGTCCTTAACCATGTAAATTGATTTCCCACCTTTCTGATCAATAGAAAGAGAGTGTATTTATATTTTGTTTTAGTGAACAGCAGTTCTATGCTTGTATTTAGTGCAGATTTCTTATAATAGATAAGGTTCATTTTTTCGAGGGTTGAATTGTGTATGTAATTATTCTGACTTTTTGGGCAAGTTCTGATCTGTGCTGCATTGTTTTTCTTCTGGCATTGGGTTTATAAATATATGGAATGTACAGAACTTAAGTTACCTATTACCATTTAATTACAGTGGATTTATTGTCAAAATTTTTTAGAGGCCAAACATCCAAGAATCTACAACAAAATGAAACATACCAAATAACTTTTATCTAGAGTTACTCTTAATAAATATGATAAAATGTAATGATTGAATCTATCTTTATTGATAGGGATTAACAATGGGATCAAAGCCAGTAAAGGTACTTTTGCCCTATATAATATATATATGTACAATGTATGTCACTGCAGCACTGGGTGTCAAAATGGAAAAAAAGTCAATTATCTTTTCTCCTGTACATGTTTTCTGCAAAATTTTGATTTTGAATATTCCAATCGTACATTTTGAACCCATCCAGCTTCTGTTTATCATGTTTTTATAGTGTGCTTCTCTGATGCTTATCTTTATGAGAACTTTTTTCTAATACTAGAAAGTAACTTTTGCTGTTAAGTCTTTATAACTGAACACTAGAACACACCCTCGACATTGCAGGTCCGTGAATGAATTAAAGTACCTATGCCGTATTTTTAGTCTCGATTTTCAGTATTCATATTGTTTTCTCTGCTTTCAAAATATGTCTGTTTGAACACGTCCTGGTTTTCTTACTACAATAAACTTGCTATGAACTAATTTTATTATGCCCCTGCCGAAGCTGAGGGGGCATTAAGTTTTACCCTTGTCCGTCCCAAAATTGGTTTCCGTTCTCTAACTAAAGTTTGCCTCAACCAAATGTTATCAAACTTATACACAATGCTTATTAACACAAAACACAGATCAAGTTTGAATATTGGTGGCGTCACTTTAACCGTTCTAGAGTTATGTCCCTTGATAAATGGAAAAATTGCAAAATTTTTCATTTCTGTTCTCTAACTTAAGTTTGCCTCATCCAAATGTTATGAAACTTATACACAATGTTTATTACCACAATACACAGATCAAGTTTGAATTTTGGTGGCGTCCCTTTTACTGTTCTAGAGTTATTCCCCTTTACAAATGGATAAATTGCTAAATTTTTCAATTTTGTTGAGCCTAGACTTTTGTCGAAAAAGCGAGACATAGCGATCCTAAATTCCGTCGTCAGCGGCGTCCACAAATATTCACTCTGTGGTTAAAGTTTTTGAAATTTTAATAACTTTCTTAAACTATCCTGGATTTCTACCAAACTTGGAAAGAAGCTTGTTTATGATCATAAGATAGTATCCAGAAGTAAATTTTGTAAAAAAAAAATCGTTTTTTCAGTATTTTACTTATAAATGGACTTAGTTTTTCTGCCAGTTAACATTACATTCACTCTGTGGTTAAAGTTTTTAAAATTTTAACAACTTTTTTAAACTATCCTGGATTTGTACCAAACTTGGACAGAAGCTTGTTTATGATTAAAAGCTAGTATCTAGAAGGAAATTTTGTTAAAATTTTGTTCCATTTTTACCTTATTTTACTTATAAATGGACTTAGTTTTTCTTCCAGTTAACATTACATACAGTCTGCAGTTTAAGTTTTTAAAACATTTATTAGATTCATAAACTATCCTGGATTTTTACCAAACTTAAACAGAAGCAATTTACAATCAAAAGATAGTATAGAGAGGAATATTTTTTTTATTTTTTTCCTCATTTTTGTTGAGCCTGCGATTAACAGCAAAAGTAGGCGAGACACTGGTTTCTGAAGAACCCCTACAAATTTTTTTTCTAAGATCAAGTACAAATTTTTTGTTTCCGTTCTCTAACTTTAGTTTGCCTCAACCAAATGTTATAAAAACTTATACACAATGCTTATTACTACATAATACAGTTTAAGTACGAAATTCGGTGGCGTCACTTTTACCATTCTTGAGTTATGTCCCTTTATAAACATAAAAATTGCTGAATTTTTCTTTTCTGTTCTCTAACTTTAGTTTGTCTCAACCAAATGTTATAAAACTTATACACAATGCTTATTACCACAAAATTCAGATCAAGATCAAATTGTGGTAGCGTCACTCTTACCGTTCTTCGGTTATGTCCCTTTATAACTATATGATATGCAAGCGGGGGGCATCATCTGTGTCCACATGTGGACATAATCCACATTTTAACTAATTAACCAAAATTAATAGTGGTATTGAGGTGGAATAAAACAGACTTGTTAAATGGTGTACTATAGTGTAACATTGATATAAAACAACTACTGGAAGAATTCCAGGTGCTGATAGAGGAGGGATTTACAGATGGTAACAGAAAACTGCATGTGACATATACTATTGGTATCAGTATCGGATTCGACCCGGAACTTGTTAATTATTGGTGATATTAATTATGTGGAAAACAAAAGGGCCTGAAATGATGTAATTTTTAAAACAACACCATTGTCCTATATTAAGTTGAATTCTTTGATTAGTCGTTTTTACGTCATGCCGGCTAACAAATTGGTCCTCTTTATTTTAGTAGTATAGATATATAGCAGTGGGGTGGTAAAAAAAGGAAGGTTTGGGAGCTTTTTTATTAGTCCCCTACTGACGAAGTCGAAGGGGATTTTAGGTTTGCACTCCTTCCGCCTGTCTGTCAGTCTGGCAAATCAGTTTTCCACTCTTTTTTTCTTCATGCTTGAAGATATTGATTTGATATTTGGTGTATTGTTTTATCATGACAAAGTTACAGATCAAGTTTGAATTCTAATATGACGTGCTTATTTCGCTTTGTAAACAACATTGTGATAAAATTCTCGATATATTTATACTTAGCGCAGACTCAGAGATGTGCATATTGGTGGCTGCTAATGCTCAAGATAAAGTTCGAATATCACGGCCCAGGCCATGTGTAAATGTCCAACAAATCTATGGCTTCCATGAATTATTTCTTAATATTGTTCTGGTCTGATGATTTTGGGCAGAGTTATGGTCCTTGGACTTAGAAAATTCACTCAAATAATCTGTTTTCTGCACTTTTTTTTGTCATGTTTGTTTTCTTCATGCCCAATATCCATGTATAGTTGTGGAACTATCATAATTTCCTTAATGAATCCATAATGTTTAGTTTATCCGCCATGGTTCAACAACTGCTTATAAAACTATAGATTTTTGTCATGTGAATTTCTAAGTCATTATGAGTAATAGGGTAACAATATTTGATACATGGGATTCTTGCAAGGTCATCATGTCTGTCAGACTGTGCATCTGACCTCAACCTCATTTCATGGATCAGAAATCAAGAAAAAATTTAAATGATTTTGTCTGTTTCTCTGATTATACTTTAAGCAGTAGATCAACTATATTTGGTGTATGGAATGGTTGTAAGGTGTACATGTCTCTCTTTTAGATGTCATCTGACCTTGACCTCATTTTCAGGGTTCATTGGTCAATGTTAAAGGAGTAGGTCCAGTAAGACCCCTTTTTGGCCCCAAAATATAGCAGTTTTACAAAATTGTTAAAATGTAAATTTTTAGCTATTTATTGGAAAGTAGAATACTTCTGCTACATAAATATGGGCAGTTTTTGACAATACCATGCATATATATCGGGTACTAGCATCATTAAGTCATGCTAAATTACTGAAATCTTCACAATTTTAGCATTTGAGTTACATTTTAGACGGTTTCCGTCTTAAATGGAAGTGGCCGCATTTGTGTTCATTCTTAATATTTAAATGCAAGTTGTATTTGATGATAATACATAACATATATAAAGGTTAAGGATGAACACGGATGCGGCCACTTTCATTTTTGACAAAAACCATCTGAAAAGTGACATATTATGGCATATTTGATAGATTTTTCATATTTAAGCTTGAATCTGAACGTCTTTAATGATAAAATCAGTTCAAATCTGTCACATAAACTAATTGAATCGACTGAAGTAGACACTTAAGTGTTTAAAAAGTGACCAAAATCTTGCATCAGATGAACCTGAAATTTGAGGCCAAGATCGGCCCTTAACGGACCTACTCCTTTTCCGGGTCAAGTCTTGTTTCTCAAGTAATATTTGCAATATGTCAACAATATTTGTGTGTATGGAATGATTGTAAAGTGTAGATACCTTCTGGCAGGATTATTTGACCTTGACAACATTTTCATGGTTCATTTACCAATATTTATTTTTGTGGATAGGTCTGTTCCTGGGATACTATAAGCAGTAGGTTAACTCAGTCTATAACGTTAGCCACTAGTAGTCTGATGTCCCAGATTATTAAAATTTTATTCAGACTAGTAATTTTGCAAAACTGTGTTTAGACACATACATGTACATGATGTAAGTAGCATATATAGTCTGAAAAGATTTTGGTGCAGACTGTTAACTATATTTGGTGGATGGAATGATTGTAAGATGGACATGTCAGTCTGGTAGGTTTGGTTTGACCTCATTTTCATAGATCATTGAGAATGTAAAGTTAATGTGATAGTTGCAGTGAAACATTTTTCTTTAAAAAGACTCTCTACATTAAACAGCCTAGAATTTTTCCTTTTTGGAATGCCTGCAGATCTTGAACAGATTTTTGACCTAGTACATTAGTGTATAATGCTTACTTACATATTGAGATTGCATTTTGTTCTTTTTGACTTTTGGTTGAATTACTGCATTGGACTTCAAATATTTAATGAAAATTTAACTTGATCAGACTTTTTATTTTGTGTTTCCTGTAGTCTTGATTCATCATGTTCATAAGTGTATGGTGATGACCTTCTGGTCAAGTGAATGTTTTGTTCTGGTTGACAGACAATATATGCAATAAGGCTGCCTTTGTGTTGACAACACGTCTATTTTTTTGTACAAATGGTTATTTTATGTGTTTAGAAATTGTTCAAATATCTAAAAAAATTGTATAAAACATTTTTTTTAACACCTATAATTTATTTATGGTTGTTCCGTTCATACTGACATTGTTTCTACAAAACTAGGAAAATTAAAAGTTTGATGTAAGAAATAAAAATAATATGAAAGAAAATGAAAGCAGACAAATTAATACTATCAAACATGTCAAAGAGGATAGGTATTTGTCTAAAACTATTGAATTGAACAATTATGAATATAAGGATGTGTGTGCCAATGAGACAGACAGTGGGAAAAACTAATCCCCATTTCTTTTTAAGTGATATTTTTGTACAGATTCAAACTTGTTTTCTTTTGTTTTTTTACATGAATTCAGATATGGGATAATCGGTAAATGTCTGTGAGACAGCAACCTAATTTAAACACAAGCATTGTAACATGACCATACAGTCTTTGATGATTGACACATGTGGCTAAGTCTGTGATCATACAGCTGTATAACAAACTCTGGGTTTTTCAAGAGTTGAGTCGACTTGGGACAATTAACGAAATGTAAATTAATTCAGTGGAGATAACTCGATACATTCACATAGACAAGAATAACCACTTTCTATATTTCAAATAAACTTTTAGTTTCAACAGTTTTCCTTCCCTTTGTGTCTTATAGTTTCAATAATTTTACCATCCATTTGTGTCATTAAGTTTGAGTTTAAAAACTTGCACATGGCTATGTTCTTTTTTGTTGTTTGATTGCACTGAATGTTCTGTTGTTTTTTTTTTTTGCTACAATTTTTATCACATGTGTGCTGGTATATATTGTTAAATTACAAACAAAATCTGTTCAAAGTAATGGTTGTTAGGTACAAGTCTACTTTTTGAGTGTTATATTTTTAAACCAAATGAAAAAAATATTGAAATTGGTAAAAGGCTCTGATGCTGTTTGCTTAAAATATTTGCTTAGACTGAGACAGTTGTATGGAGTAGAAAATGTTATTCATTTTTAAAATACAAGCCAATGAGACGTCTGTGCTGAATATTTGTAATCATAAACAGTTTTGTTTGTATTTTTGATTAGCAAAAAAACAATGATAAACAATTTAGCATAATCATATACTAAACGTGTTTTTATATATGTTCTTTGTGCAATCCAGAAATAATCTTGTTGTTAGACAAGCAACTTGGTTTTTATACGACCGCAAACAAATTTTGTGGTCGTATATTGGTATGACGTTGGCGTCGTCGTCGTCGTCGTCGTCCGAAGACACATTGGTTTTCGCACTCTTAACTTTAGTTAAAGTGAATGGATCTTTTTGAAATTTTACCATAAGGTTAAATACCACAAAAGGAAGGTTGGGATTGATTTTGGGGGTTATGGTACCAACAGTTAAGGAATTAGGGGCCAAAAAGGGGCCAAAAATAAGCATTTTCTAGTTTCCAGACAATAACTGTGGAACGGTGTATGGATCTCTCTGAAATTATACTACAAGTTTCCATACCACAAAGGGATGGTTAGGATTTGCTTTGGGGGGTTATGGCTCAAACCGTTTAGGAATTAGGGGCAAAAAAGGGGGAAAAACAAGGTTGTCCTGGTTAATGGACAAATACTTTAGTACAAAACATAATTTAAAGCAGTGTAAGGGAGATAAATCAAATACATCATTGAAATTATCTCACTTACACTGCTTTTAAATTATGTATAAAGTAATGGTTAATGAACAATAAAGATAATTTAAAACAGTGTAAGGGAGGTAATCCAAATACAACGTTTTTGTTACTTCCCTTACACTGCTTTTAAATTATGTTTAAAGAAATGCATATTTATAAAGGAAGACCAGTAAAAATATCTGCAAATGTTGCATCATTTTTTTTTACAAAAAAATCCATATGAAAGATTTGACACTATATTTTTAATTCTATTATAAAATAGATTAAGTTAGCACTATGGTAAATTTAAATGGGTAATTATGGTTGCCAACTCCATTGGAAATTTGAATTGAGATTATGACCATATCTTGAGGGAAAGAATTTTTTGTGGGAAAAAAGGGGGGGGGGGGATAAAAAGAAATTGTGGGGGGTCAATCTTTTCTCATTTCAGATTTCAGAAATTAAAAAGAATTATTCTTCAAATATTATTTTTTTTTCAAATTTCAAATATTGAAAAATTTCAAGAAGTAATCTTTAATTGCACAGTATGGCACATTAGATTTGTAAAATCTTTGATCACATTTATTTATTTGTTATGCCGAATCTAACAGTGTATTTAGATTTTTAATTTTGGGTCCAGTTTTCAAAATAGTCTACATTAAGGTCCAAAGGGTCCAAAATTAAACTTTGTTTGATTTTAGCAAAAATTGAATATATGAGGTTCTTTGATATGCTGAATCTAAACATGTATTTAGATTTTTGATTTTTGGCCCAGTTTTCAAGTTGGTCCAAATTGGGGTCCAAAATTAAACTTTGTTTGATTTCAACAAAAATTGAATATATGGGGTTCTTTGATATGCTGAATCTAACCATGTATTTAGATTTTTTATTTGTGGACCCCGTTATCAAATTGGTTCATATTGAGGTCAAAATGGTCCAAAATTAAACTTTGTTTGATTTCATCTAAAATTGAATTATTGGGGCTCTTTGATATTCCAAATCTAACCGTGTATTTAGATTTTTTATTTTGGGTCCTGTTTTTTAAATTGGTCTTCATTAAGGTCCAAAGGGTCCAAAATTAAACTTAGTTTGATTTTAACAAAAATTGAATTCTTGGGGTTCTTTGATATGCTGAATCTAAACATGTGTTTAGATTTTTGATTATGGGCCCAGTTATCAAGTTGGTCCAAGATAGGGTCCAGTATTTAAACTTTGTTTGATTTCAACAAAAATTGAATATATGGGGTTCTTTGATATGCTGAATCTAAACATGTATTTAGATTTTTGATTATGGGCCCAGTTTTCAAGTTGGTCCAAATTGGGGTCCAAAATTAAACTTTGTTTGATTTCAACAAAAATTGAATATATGAGGTTCTTTGATATGCTGAATCTAACCATGTATTTAGATTTTTTATTTGTAGGCCCCGCTATCAAATTGGTTCATATTGAGGTCAAAAGGGTCCAAAATTAAACTTTGTTTGATTTCATCAAAAATTGAATTATTGGGGTTCTTTGATATGCCAAATCTAACAATGTTTTTAGATGTTTAATTTGGGTCCTGTTTTTTAAATTGGTCTTCATTGAGGTCCAAAGGGTCCAAAATTAAACTTAGTTTGATTTTAACAAAAATTGAAATCTTGGGGTTCTTTGATATGCTGAATCTAAACATGTGTTTAGATTTTTGATTATGGGCCCAGTTTTCAAGTTGGTCCAAGTTGGGGTCCAAAATTAAACTTTTTTTGATTTCAACAAAAATTGAATATATGAGGTTCTTTGATATGCTGAATCTAACCATGAATTTAGATTTTTTATTTGTGGGCCCCGCTATCAAATTGGTTCATATTGAGGTCAAAAGGGTCCAAAATTAAACTTTGTTTGATTTCATCAAAAATTGAATTATTGGGGTTCTTTGATATTCCAAATCTAACCGTGTATTTAGATTTTTAATTTTAAGTCCCGTTTTTTAAATTGGTCTACATTAAGGTCCAAAGGGTCCAAAATTAAACTTAGTTTGATTTTAGCAAAAATTGAAATCTTGGGGTTCTTTGATATGCTGAATCTAAACATGTGTTTAGATTTTTGATTATGGGCCCAGTTTTCAAGTTTGTCCAAGTTGGGGTCCAAAATTAAACTTTGTTTGATTTTAACAAAAATTGAATATATGGGGTTCTTTGATGTGCTGAATCTAACCATGTATTTTGATTTTGGACATTGGACCATAATAGGTAAATTAAAAAAATTCAAGTTCTTAGACCACATTCTTTCTGTGTCAGAAACCTATGCTGTGTCAAATATTTAATAACAATCCAAATTCAGAGCTGTATCAAGCTTGAATGTTGTGTCCATACTTGCCCCAACTGTTCAGGGTTCGACCTCTGCGGTCGTATCAAGCTGCGCCCCAGCGAAGCATTTTATTTAATATTGAAAATGTACATGACCTAGGGGAGTTACTAGTATAACAAGTTATTTTAATTAATATTTTCAAATTTTAGAATTCAAATAGCCCCAAAAAGGTAAGATAATAATCTGCTTGCATGTAGTCAGATGTGTCTACAGGCCAGTCACAGCTATTACACTAAAAACTTCACATAATATTACTACTCTTGAATTCTGCACATATTTTTCTCTTTCTAAATTCACTGTGATAAAACCATTGAAACGTTTTCTGTGTGATACAGCTTTATTAATGTTGATTTGCTCAATTCAGTAAGAAAACCAAACTTAGCTATTTGAAGGCTCTTGTCATTTGTTGACTTATTTTTAAGCAAACCTTTGTTAGGAGACTACCACTGCTTGCAGGGATTGAATTTTTATGGTGCTCTGTTGCTTGTTATTCTAGAGGTCTGTTCGTCAGTGTATAAAATTTGGAACGATTTAGAGCTCCTCTACAATAGCATGTTCAAGAAAAGTTTGGTTGTCAAATTTGTTGGCAAGCATAATAATTAAAACTGACATACGTATAGTTTCAGTCTGGTTATGAAAAAGAGTGAAAGTTTGATTTCACAGGTGATAAAAAATCAGGAAATAATAATTTTTTTCAATGCATACATGACATAAGAAAACTTTGGTGAAAAAATGGGGATTAAAGTAGCCAAAAGTTTGTTGATCATACTATTATGGAGAGCTGTAATGTCTGTCATTGTTTTGGCACCAACTGAATAAAGACCTAAAAATATTATTTAGCTAAAAAGTGACCACTGCCCCTCAATTGAACAGCTGCTTGTATTAGTCAAAAGTCCTCCAGAATACTATAAATTCAGAAATAATTGTGAGGTTATTAATGTGAATAATACGTCTGGATGTGTATCGCAATAATAAAAAGTTGCATTCAGATATCTGATACATATGTCTGTAGGCCTGTTTTCCCGAAATTGCAATAACTAATCTCGTATTTTCGTCCATTCTTCAAAAATCGCAATAATAAATGCTTGCAATAATTTCTGAATTTACAGTAGCTGCTGGTGAAGGGTGATAAATGTTTAAATGTTTTTGATAGATTGAAAAAATATATTTTAATACAAATACAGCTTATTTGTTATTCAAGGGATTTAACTGCTTTGGAATTCCTTTAGCATATTGCAAGCAAACCACATGCATAAAGAATTTAGTTGTATAAAGATTATTTAAGTAAAAAAAATGCTGGACACTTTGAAATGAAAAACATGAATATACTTGCTTTGTTAGCTATCTTTTCATTCTTGGTGTTGACACTAAACTTTGTCCTAAATTTCTGAAGGGTTAAGATTGTTACATTGCTACCATTACTACATAATGCTAATTATCAGCAAAACATTATTCATGATTTAAATCTTTTCTGAGAACTGTAAAATAATATGTCAAAACATCAGACATAATATATGTCATAAAAAAAATATCTGAAGCTTGTTAATTGGATATTAAGTTGCAATATGAAATTAAAGTTTTGCATTGTTTCAGTCATAATTTGGGATTATCACATCAGCAATTTGTTTAAGAATTTTTATTCTATGAGGAAATAAAGTATTGTTCTTTAAATTAAGGACTCGCATCCTGTTTATATGTCATGTACTTAGCTACACATATGTTGTTTGTAGTGTCCATTATTACTGTTAGCAGACAGTGAACCCTATATAAAGGCTGTTAAATTAGGGTAGCTGGTAGAAACTTAATTGGACCGTGAGAAACAATTTGCCAAATAGTGAGTATACTGCGTTACAGAATCAGCAATCCTCTTGGATTTTCTTTAATTTGAATTAATTTATTATATAGATAAATGACATCATTTGAGGAAAGTTTTAATTTTTTTTTAGGTCAACATGTCACAGAATGGGACAAGTGAAACTGACATTGATGAAAGTCTGTATTCCAGACAGTTGTAAGTAAAAATGCTGAGAATGTAAACTTTCGAGACGACCAGTAAGGTTATTGTTACCTGTCACCCACAGATATATTTTGCAAGGATAGGATTTTCTTCCTTATAGCAGAATTTTTATTGTCTACTTACAATTTTAAAATCAAGTTTAAACATGATATTTTTATAAGATTGTGGGTTTTTCTTTTTGTTATAGTGTTACTACTTCCTTGTAATATGGAGAGATGTGATTTTATTTTATTTTAACATAATTCCTGTTCAACATGTTCAATGAAACATATTGAAACCAAATGCTGTCAGGTTTTTGCACCACAAGCTTAGAAATGATTATGATGGAATAGAGGTCTTTTCCTCCCCTTTTTCTAGTGTCAAAATCTAATTCCTGAAAATGGTATCCTTTTTTTTGCATAGAAAAAAAAATGAGATTCAAAGTAAACAAAAAAGTGATTGAAGCTTGCTGTGATGTATTATTATTATATCTTTTCAGTACCTTTTCAGTGCAAAAAATGAATTTTGTTACAAAAAATGTTGTTATTTTCAATTGAACACAGAAAATAGACATATTGGTAAATATTGTGATAATTTGAGATGAAAATTTAAATATTTTCATTCTGGCTTTGAAAATAGACTGTATAAAGAGACATGGCAGGTGCTTGAACAAACGTATTATGTAAGGCATTGTTGATATAAAATTTACATTCATATTGTATGTAAACATGGTAAAGGTATTGCCATAAATATAATTACACATTCTTATACATTTGTTTTAGATATGTACTTGGCCATGAAGCCATGAAAAAGATGGCCAACTCTAATGTTCTAATTTGTGGAATGAAAGGACTAGGAATAGAGATTGCAAAGAATGTTGTTCTTGGTGGTGTTAAATCTGTTACTATACAAGACACAGAAGAAACAACCTGGTATGATCTGAGTTCACAGGTTAGTAGTTATAAAATATCAATTTCTAGAATACATATCTCCTTGACTTTCTAAACCTGTTCTGGTTATTGAGAGTTTTGAGTTCTGGATTTACACTACAATGACTAACTTTGTGTAATAAAATTCATTGTGTTCTACTTATTGGTTTCTAGAAATCTGCTCTATGCAAACCTCTACTGGTTTGGCCTAAGCCAAAAAAAAATAAATGTGTTTTTCCGGTCGCCTGATCGACCCTAATTTATAGGATCTGACCCTAAAAAAATAAAATATTAGTAATTTTTTGTGTGCTTTGAAAAAATCTCTTCTTTTCGAATATCCTTAAATCATCATGGTCTAATTTGTGCTATTTGTTGAAGCGTTTTTGTGACAGTGAATGGCAATAAACAAATGGCATGCTTAAAACTAGTGAACTCGCAGTTTGATTGATGAAATACAACTATAAACCTGATATACAAACGTTCATTAAACATTGTTAAAGGTTCACACTCAAAAATATTTGAAGAATAGCTCCAAGAACTTTATGATGAGATCGATTGAATAAAAAAAAAAAAAAAAAATTCCCAACCAACGGACCCTATTTTTTGGGGGGCATGCAACCAAAAACACTCCTATTTTTTTGGGGCTCTATTTTTGGTTGTTGGCCAATTAGAATATCAGGTTCTTGTATGACATGATATATTTTCAATAGTGTTGAGGGGCCTCTTTGGCCCAGTGGTATAAGTAGTTGAACTACTGTTACACTAGCCAGTCAACACTGAGGTTGTGTGTTCGAATCCCGCACGGGGAAGGTGCACTTGACTACGATCTTAATTGACTAGGATTGTCAGTTTTTCTACCGAAAGGTCTGTGGTTCTCTCCGGGCGCTCTGGCTTCCTTCACCAATAAAAACTGATCGCCACGAAATAGCACAATAGTGTTGAAAGTGGCATTAAACACCAATCAATCAATCAATCAACAGTTTTTAAACGACCGCAAAAAATTTTGTGGTTGTATATTGGTATGACGGCGTCGTCGTCCTCTGAAGACACATTAGCTTAAGTGAATGGATCTCAATGAATTTTACCATAAGGTTCAATACCACAAAAGGAAGGTGGGGATTGATTTTGGGGGTTATGGTACCAACAGTTAAGGAATTAGGGGCCAAAAATAAGCATTTTTGTAACTTCCAGACATAACTTATGTGTAAGTGTATGGATCTCTCTGACATTGTACCACAAGGTTCCATATCACAAAGGCAAAGCTGGGATTGATATTGGGGGTAATTGCCTCCAAATTTTAGGAATTAGGGGCCAAAAAGGGGCAAAAAACAAGCATTTTTCTAGTTTCATGACAATAACTTGTGTGTAAGTGTATGGATCTTTATGAAATTGTACTACAAGGTTTCATATCACAAAAGGAAAGCTGGAATTGAGTTTGGGGGTAATTGCCCAAAAAGTTTAGGAATAAGTGGCCAAAAAGGGGCCAAAAATAAGCATTTTTCTAGTTTCCAGACAATAACTTGTGTTCAAGTGTATGGATCTCTCTGAAATTGTACTGCAAGGTACCATACCACAAAGGGAAGGCTGGGATTGATTTTGGGGGTAATTCCCTCAAAATTTTAGTAATATGGGGCCATAAAAGGGCAAAAAAACAAGCATTTTTCTAGTTTCAGGACAATAACTTGTGTGTAAGTGTATGGATCTTTATGAAATTGTACTGCAAGATTCCATATCACAAAGGGAAAGCTGGGTTTGAGTTTGGGGGTAATTGCCCTAAACGTTTAGGAATTTGGGGCCAAAAAACAAGCATTTTTCTAGTTTCCAGACAATAACTTGTGTTCAAGTGTATGGATCTCTCTGAAATTGTACTGCAAGGTACCATACCACAAAGGGAAGGCTGGGATTAAGTTTGGGTGTGATGAATCATAAGGGGGTTCAAAAAATTTGGGGGGGGGGGATTTTTTTTTCCTTTTTTTTCTTTAAAATTTTCCATTTTAAATTGGTTATTTCTGATTTATATATAAAAGCAAATGATAATGATATGGTTTGAATAGGTAAATTAAAAATTTTTAAGTTCTTAGACCACTTTCATTCTGTGTCAGAAACCTATGCTGTGTCAAATATTTAATTACAATCCAAATTCAGTGCTGTATCAAGCTTGAATGTTGTGTCCATACTTGCCCCAACTGTTCTGGGTTCGACCTCTGCGGTCGTATCAAGCTGCGCCCCAGGGGAGCATTTTATTATACAAGTAAATTGTAAAACTATGAAATAAGTGTAGGTATTGGGTTGTTGTCTCATTGATGTATTCCTCATAACATTTTATTTTCAACAGCAGTTTGACTTTCAACTGACCCTTAATTTGACCATACTGCAGCAGAATGCACCAACAATTTTTCTTTTCTTAACACTATTTCCTTATTCTATAACTTAAAAGATGATTCTGCTGAAAACAGACAAAATATTGTAGATTTTTTGTCTGCATACTTAATGCCATTAGTTTTATCAATAATGAAACTTTGAAAAGTTAATGATAAAGTTGAATGTATAGTGATTTACCTTAAACAATGTATAATGTATAACTTACTGTTTTTTAATTCTATATTGTAGTTTTTCTTGAGGGAGAATGACATGGGGAAGAACAGAGCTACTGCTTCTCTGAATAGACTTTCTGAATTGAATAGCTATGTACCTATTAGTTCTAGCACTGATCCCTTGTCAGAAAGCTTTCTCAAAAGGTTCCAGGTAAATAGATTTGATATAAGTTTCTTGACAAATGGTTACAAAGTGAAGTAATGGGGTCTAACCATTTAGGCAATTCTTCATTGCATTTTATTTTCTTGTTGAACTCTTCCTTATTTTAAATTTCAGTATTATTTAACATGTTAGCTGAAAGGTGTAAACTTTTAAAATCTTTGTTAGAGATGGTCAAGCATCTTCCACAATGAGGTATTTTAAAATATTTCATGGTGTTATTGTCTATTGTACATCCACCTAAATAAGTTCCTTTAACCAGAAATTGTGTTATATTACAGGTGGTAGTATTGACAAACTCTCTACTTGATGAGCAGATAAAGCTTGGTGAATATTGTCATTCAAATGGAATCAAACTGATAGTAGCTGATACAAAAGGTTTATTTGGGTATGTGAATAGCATATATATACTGTATATATATTATATATATTAGTTCAAATTAAAAACAATGTTCAAACCTATGATTGCGTTGGATAAAAACCACAATTTTTATACGTGTGCATGCAAAACAAATTTCTTGGTAGAGGGGTCTAAATACAGCACAAACAACATTTTCCAAAAGACCAAAAAATGAAAAAGTATATTTTAACAAAACGCATTTGACTAGAAGGTCGAACAACCAATTTTCTTAAACCCTGCTGACTGCCATGGCTATTGCCAAATAAACGGATCCCCAGATGTTACAAAATGGATCTTAATTATTAATTTAATACCAAACAAAAACAATAAACTTGCAGAAAAGATGGTATACCGCAAACATGAGATGCAAAAATTGATACACCTCAATTTAGGATAGACTCTTGAATTTTTAAGAGTCGAAATAGGATGAATGGATCATATAAACCCGAAGGCAAATATAATACAAGCCCAAACGAAAAAATATAAACAGGTCTAAATTGAAAACAACGTTCAAACCTATGATTGCATGGGATAAAAACCGCAATTTTTATACGACCGCATTTGCGGTCGTATATTGGTATGTCGTCGTCGATGTCCACAGACACTTGGTTTCCAGACAATAACTTAAGTATTAGTCAATAGAAATCTATGAAATTTAAACACAAGGTTTATAACCACAAAATTAGGGTTGGGATCGATTTTGGGGGTTATGGTCCTAACAGTTTAGGAATTAGGGGCCAAAAAAGGGGCGCAAATAAGCATTTTTCTAGTTTTCAGACAATAACTTGTGGAACAGTGTATGGATCTCTCTGAAATTGTACAACAAGTTTCCATACCACAAAGGGATGGTTAGATTTGGCTTTGGGGGATAATGGCTCAAACGGTTTAGGAATTAGGGGGAAAAAACAAGGGTTTCCTTTTTAATGGACAATCACTTTTAAGTACAATGTTAAATTTGGATTACCTCCCTTACACTGCTTTAAAATTATGTATAAGAAATTTTGTATTGTCGTAAGGTGATTAGTTGTCAATTTTTTTTTAGAAGTTACTAATAAAAATGCTGATTAAAGATATATTATTTTTAGACATGATTATGTATGTCATTTTCTATTTTAAGACTTTTATGATGTATTTAAATGGGTAATTATGGTTGCAAACTCTATTGGAAATTTGAATTGAGATTATGACCATATCTTGGGTTATAGATTCTTTTTTTTGGAAAAAGTGGAGGGGGCAGGTGAAAAAAAAATTGGGGGGGGGAACAATATATTTTTCTCATTACAGATTTCAGAAAATAAAAAGAAAATTTCTTAAATATTTTTTTTTTTTTGGAAAAAAAAGGGGGTGAACATTTTTTTTTTGGAAGGGGGGGGGGGGGGGGGGGTCAATTCGCAACAGCATAGTGTATTGCACAAAAGCAAAAAATTGAATATAAATTCAAATCATATAACCAATTCTAAGTTCATTACAGTTGTTCTGTGTCAGAAACCTATTATGTGTCAAATATTTAATTTCAATCCAAATTCAGACCTGTATCAAGCATGAATATTGTGGCCATTTTTGCCCCAACTGTTCAGGGTTGGACCTCTGCAGTCGTATCCAGCTGCGCTCGGCGAAGCAATTTATTATACATATGCATGGAAAACAAATTTCTTGATAGAGGGGTCTAAATACAGCACAAACAACATATTTCAAAAGACCAAAAACGTGATAAAGTATATTATATATATATATATACATTTGTTCCTAAATATGTGTGAAGCCATTACTAATGAGTATAAATGAGTTCCTCTCAAATCGCCATTAAGGCCTGTCTTGACCTTGCTGTTAGGGTTAAAGTTCATTTTTTGACACATTCCAGCTATCATCAGTGCGAAGAACCACAATAGAAATAATGTTCCAATAATATAGTAGTTATTTTCAATTATTTTAAGCAGCTATCATCTCGTGTAGATCCATATCCGTGGTAAATTCTTTATTTCTGGAAACTTTGTTTTAAGTAGAAAATTTAGAATTTATAGTGATCATATTTCAGCAGATTAACGAGTTATTTATATAAGTAAAGAATGAGTCTCGGCGTCTTCTGTAGAAGCTGGCTATAATCCTTCTACAATGAAGTAGATAATAAAACCATTGATACTAATGTTTATGTTTTATTAACTGTAGAGAAGTGTTCTGTGATTTTGGAGAGAGTTTCATGGTAAATGATTCAGATGGAGAACAACCAATCAGCAACATGGTGGCTTCAGTTACAAAGGTACAAACAACAGTTAAATTTAAGTTTTCCTAAGGACAAAATTTAGTTCTGTTATTTTAAAGAATGATATGTAACTTTACTAATTGTCTTACTTAACCTGATTGAGACTCAGTGGTATCATGGTAGAGTGCTCACCTCGAGTGGGGAAGATTGTGGGTTAGAACCCAAGCCTGGTCAAGCCAAAGACAAAAAATTGTATTTGCTGCTTCTTCAATAGGCAAGCAGCATTAAATAGTAAGAGCAAAGACTTGTGGGCTGAGTCAGAATAATGAGTCAGGGTAGATTGAAGTGTCTTCCTGTGGACTGTTTGTCACAGGCTCAGCTTGTTGGTTTAGTACAAAACAGGATTAATATTCATATCGATTAATATGTTCTAGTCCTGAATATGCATTTAATTTGCTGCTGGAAGTTAGACAGCCATCCATCATCATCAACATTAGGTGTAGATTGTTTTACCAGAAAGCTAAGATGGAAGTGTATAGTAGAACCAATAACTAACATAGATAAATAATACATTTGAATGATGCAGGGGAAATAAAAGTTGATGATTGAAGAAAATTTGGATGGGCATGACTTTTAAATTTGATTTAATTGAAAAAGAGACATGATATTGTTGAAAAACTTTAATCAAATATGATGTGTTGGATACTTGACCTGAACTAAATATAATTTTAACAGTATGTAATCATTTGTAAATACTGAGATTTTCTCTGTAATAACTACTTACAGGACAAAGAAGGAGTTGTGACATGTCTGGATGAATCTCGTCATGGTTATGAGGATGGTGATTACGTAACCTTCTCAGAAATAAAAGGAATGACAGAGTTGAATGGATGTGAAGCTCGCAAAATTAAAGTTTTGGGTAACTATGAACGTATTTATGTAAAGCACTTTTTTAAGAGGAAATACTTGTGATATGCTACATAGGAATTAAAGAGTAAATATTCAAAGGCTCTTCACAAAAGTAATTGCTATAATTGGTTGCTAGTTATACTGCAAGTTTCACTTAAGATTTTTTGGTGAAAAGAAATGATTGCAGATTTTATTCATGGTAGTAAAAATTTATAAAGAAATGAGAAGATTACAAACTACAATCCCTTTTCATCCCAATCATTCTGTACATAAATCCAACAGTAAGGCCAAAAAAAAATATATGTCCGTTTACGGTTACCCGAAAAAATGAAATCGAAAGTGAAAGTACAAAGCCGGAAACACCTACTTTCAGTTTATAACAAAAGGGAAAGTATGTGCGTGATCATCTGAGCGCTTTGATTTTAAAATCGCGGATTCGATATTGAAGCGTTTTTAAGATCTAGATCTCAATGGCAGCTTGCATGGCCCCAACACTGGCAACAGGCTGAGGCAGCATTAAAGTTCAAAAAATACGACCACATGCTTACAAAATCTATTTTGACAACCTCACCAAACAAATTAATAATTGGTACCGATGTGTTTGATCTGTACCATAGTAAACAACCTGCAAAAACATACAAATTAACGGTGACTTGGAAGACTGAAATTCAACAAGCCTTTACAAGGTGACGGTTATATTGTTGACAGGAACTTAACTGTTGGAGATGTTGTAGATAAATTCAATGTTAAATGTATAGATATTTTATGAGAGAAGGAGATCAACAATAATTTGGTATCTATTGTCCAAACAGCGACAGACAATGCTAAACACTGCAATAAATGTTTTTCAAGTTATGATGGTTGGAGGACGAGTATACCCAACTTTTTTTATACGACCGCAAAAAAATTTTTGTGGTCGTATATTGGTATGATGTTGGCGTCGTTGTCGTCGTTGTCGTCTGGCGTCGTCCGGCATCGTCCGAAGACACATTGGTTTTCGCAGTCTAACTTTAGTTTAAGTGAATGGATCTCTATGAAATTTTACCACAAGGTACAATACCACAAAAGGAAGGTTGGGATTGATTTTGGGGGTTATGGTACCAACAGGAATTAGGGGCCAAAAAGGGGCCAAAAATAAGCATTTTTGTAACTTCCAGACATAACTTGTGTGTTAGTGTATGGATCTCTCTGACATTGTACCACAAGGTTCCATATCACAAAAGGAACGCTGAGATTGATTTTGGGGGTAATTGCCTCAAAATTTTAGGAAATTAGGGGCCAAAAAAGGGGCAAAAAACAAGCATTTTTCTAGTTTCATGACAATAACTTGTGTGTAAGTGTATGGATCTTTCTGAAATTGTACTACAAGGTTCCATATCACAAAGGGAAAGCTGGAATTGAGTTTGGGGGTAATTGCCGAAACGTTTAGGAATTGGGGGCCAAAAAGGGGCCAAAAATAAGCATTTTTCTAGTTTCCAGACAATAACTTGTGTTCAAGTGTATGGATCTCTCTGAAATTGTACTGCAAGGTACCATACCACAAAGGGAAGGCTGGGATAGATGATGGGGGTAATTGCCTCAATATTTTAGGAATTAGGGGCCAAAAAGGGGCAAAAAAACAAGCATTTTTCTAGTTTCAGGACAATAACTTGTGTGTAAGTGTATGGATCTTTCTGAAATTGTACTACAAGGTTCAATATCACAAAGGGAAAGCTGGGTTTGAGTTTGGGGGTAATTGCCCTAAACGTTTAGGAATTTGGGGCCAAAAAGGGGCCAAGAAACACATTTTTCTAGTTTCCAGACAATAACTTGTGTTCAAGTGTATGGATCTCTCTAAAATTGTACTGCAAGGTACCATACCACAAAGGGAAGGCTGGGATTGAGTTTGGGTGTGATGAATCATAAGGAGGTTCAAAAAATTGGGGGGGGGGGGGGGGATTTTTTTTTTTTTCCTTTTTTTCCTTTTTTTTTTCTTTTAAAATTTTCTATTTTAAGTTGGTTATTTCTGATTTATATTTAAAGGCAAATAATAATGATATGGTAGGAGATACACACCAAACAGGATGTGTAAATTATTATATAATAAGTATTGTGCAATAGCAAGAAATTTTCAATTGCACAGTATTGTACAATAGCAAGAAATCTTCAATTGCACAGTATTGCGCAATAGCAAGAAATATTTAATTGCACAGTATTGTGCAAAAGAAGATACTTCGTATAAATTGCTTATTTCTTGACCAATTTCAATGGGGTTTTATTCTTGAATTCTTGGGGTTCTTTAATATGCTGAATCTAACCGTGTATTTAGTTTTTGGATTTTGGGCCCCATTTTTAAATTGGTCCACATTGAGGTCCAAAGGGTCCAAAATTAAACTTTGTTTGATTTCATCAAAAATTGAATTATTGGGGTTCTTTGATATGCCGAATATTACCGTGTATTTAGATTCTTAATTTTTTGTTCTGTTTTCAAATTGGTCTACATTAAGGTCCAAAGGGTCCAAAATTAAACTTAGTTTGATTTTAACAAAAATTGAATTCTTAGGGTTCTTTGATATGCTGAATCTAAACATGTATTTAGATTTTTGATTATGGGCCCAGTTTTCAAGTTGGTCTAAATCGGGGTCCAAAATTAAACTTTGTTTGATTTCAACAAAAATTGAATATATTGGGTTCTTTGATATGCTGAATCTAACCATGTATTTAGATTTTTGATTTTTGGGCCCCGTTATCAACTTTGTCCACATTGAGGTCGAAAGGGTCCAAAATTAATCTTTGTTTGATTTCATCAAAAATTGAATTCTTGGGGTTCTTTGATATGCTGAATCTAACCATGTATTTAGATTTTGGATATTGGACCATAACAGGTGAATGTCCAATTTAAAATTTTTTAGTTCTTAGACCACATTCATTCTGTGTCAGAAACCTATGCTGTGTCAAATATTTAATCACAATCCAAATGCAAAGCTGTATCAAGCTTGAATGTTGTGTCCATACTTGCCCTAACTGTTCAGGGTTTGACCTCTGCGGTCGTATCAAGCTGCGCCCTGCGGAGCATTTTATTAAATATTAAAAGTCATCTGACATCACCCTTCTGACACCTATCCCTGCAAATATATTTCAAACCAGGAATTGAACCTGTTAAAACAGGCATGTTTTTTTTTTCTATTTATTAATTCTGCAGGTAAGTGTCAGTACTTGTAGAGGTTAGCCAAGTACTGACAGATAGATAATTTCAGACTAACCTCTCATAAATAAATGTAAATACTACACATTTAATAATATGTATGGTCTGCAGGGGTGTCTACTCTTTATGTCTTCAAAAAAAAAACAGCACCAAACTTGTGAGCAATGTTCCTGGGATGGTTACTTATTATGGTATAAAAGAATTTAATTTATTAAAAGTTTAATGCATCAAACTTGCAAAAGTGAAAGACACATTCTTTAATACAAGGAGTTGGTACAACCCCCAAAACTTGAACCAGTACGTTCATATGTATAAGTGCAGGTTTTGTCATCTTCCCTCGTTTCTGATAGGTCTTCTTGTTTTATATATATTGATTTTTCATACACCAGTACAGCATAATGAATTTATTTCTGCATATATGCCTGCATACATGTACATTAATAAACCTATATATTAGAAAGGACAAAATTTATTTTAAGTTTATATGACAGTAAAAAGTTAATATTAGTTAAAACAACATGTAACAACATCACACATCTCGCCAAAAAAAAAAAATGAAAAAAAAAAATAAAATGGAAATACCTACCTACCTACCCTATTTTTTTAAAGGATGTAACCTTAAACAGACATATATTTTTTTTCGGCCTAATGCCTTTAAACAGGTGTTGACTTTTTTCGTTAAGCCTGTAGACTTTGAGCTTATATTAAATTTAAAAGTGTATAAAGGTGAGTTACGGATCAAATTGTTGGTTGGTTTCCTATGACCTACTTATCATGGATTAAAAGCTCTTGCAAGTGGGCAGATATAGGCAGCTTTTAGTAATGAAATATTCAATTGTTCATTACTCATTTACCTGTTATTGTTTTTAATATGCATGCATTATTTGCCACTGGTCATCAATCAGGTGTCAGTCAATCATTCATCCTTCATGATTAAAAAATCAATGGAAAACTAAACCTTTTAAACAAATATTCATAATTTTGTTAAATAGTTTTGATTGTTATGTTTTGAGAAAGGTGAATATTTGGGAACATTCTGTATGACAACAAAATTTGATAATTCTGAAAGGTTGGATATGATTAGATTGTTTGTAATATCAGGTCTACACATTTTCAATGACAGAAGAGTTTATCACTTTAAAATGATTACAGTTTTAGCAAAACATCTCATTCCTGATAGATATTGTTAAAAACAGTTTCACAAAAAATGTTGTAAAAGCTAACTGAAAAGATGTATTAAATTAAACTCGGGAAGGGAAAAGCATCATACACAATGATGATACAAAAAAAAAACAGCACTTAAAATTTACATCCATGTTAATAGCTGATAAGAGAGGTGCATCAAGAAGAATATTTTGTTGAAGGATGATGGACTTAATATATATATTTTTTCCATAACAGGCCCTTATACATTTAGTATTGGAGACACAACTGGTTTATCCGCATACGAGAGAGGAGGAATTGTTACACAAGTCAAAAAACCAAAAGAAATGAAATTTGTAAGTATTTAGAGATAAATATTATAATATTGCACATCTGATCAGCGGTTGACAATTTATACCATTCAAAGTACTTGTCAATGCATCCTTTCAGTTATAAATGAATTCATATAAAACACTTCTTTTTGTCGAGCCTTCGACTTTTGTCGAAAAAGCGAGACATAGCGATCCTACATTCCGTCGGCGTCGTCGGCGGCGTCCACAAATATTCACTCTGTGGTTAAAGTTTTTGAAATTTTAATAACTTTCTTAAACTACCCTGCATTTCTACCAAACTTGGACAGAAGCTTGTTTATGATCATAAGATAATATTCAAAAGTAAATTTTGTAAAAAAAAAATTCCATTTTTACCGTATTTTACTTATAAATGGACTTAGTTTTTCTGCCAGGAAACATTACATTCACTCTGTGGTTAAAGTTTTTGAAATTTTAATAACTTTCTTAAACTATCCTGGATTTGTACCAAACTTGGAAAGAAGCTTGTTTGTGATCATAAGATAGTATCCAGAAGTAAATTTTGTAAAAAAAAAAATTCCATTTTTTCCGTATTTTACTTATAAATGGACTTAGTTTTTCTGCCAGGAAACATTACATTCACTCTGTGGTTAAAGTTTTTGAAATTTTAATAACTTTCTTAAACTATCCTGGATTTGTACCAAACTTGGAAAGAAGCTTGTTTGTGATCATAAGATAGTATCCAGAAGTAAATTTTGTAAAAAAAAAATTACATTTTTTTCATATTTTACTTATAAATGGACTTAGTTTTTCTGCCAGTTAACATTACATTCACTCTGTGGTTAAAGTTTTTAAAATTTTAACAACTTTCTTAAACTATCCTGGATTTGTACCAAACTTAGACAGAAGCTTGTTTATGATTAAAAGCTAGTATGTAAAAGGAAATTTTGTTAAAATTTTGTTCCATTTTTTCCGTATTTTACTTATAAATGGACTTAGTTTTTCTTCCAGTTAACATTACATAACAGTCTGCAGTTTAAGTTTTTATTTTAAAACATTTATTAGATTCATAAACTATCCTGGATTTTTACCAAACTTGGACAGAAGCTACTTACAATCAAAAGATAGTATAGAGAGGAATATTTTTATTAATTTTTTTCCTCATTTTTGTTGAGCCTGTGATTAACAGCAGAAGTAGGCGAGACACTGGGTTCCGCGGAACCCTTACGAATTTTTTTGTTCTCCAGAGTTCGCGAAAACTTATTTTGACCCGTCGGTCATGGGACAGACAAAGCATAATTATTTGTCAGTCCTACAAAATCTTAGCCAGTCCTACAAAATCTGTCAATTTTATCCTGAAATAAAATTAATAACATATTTTATCCAAAAATAACTTTATTAATATTAGTTTTATTCTTCGCACCCACAGGCAAATTAACAATGAAGGACCAGTTCAGGTCTTCTGATTGTTCTTATTTAAAGTCATCTTCACTATCCATTTCATCATCTGAATCACTTTCTCGGCTGTTACAGTATTTGTTTGCTCCATTGTAGGGTTCAATCTCCGATTGTTTGCCAGGGATGGCTCTATGAACAAATTTAGTAGGCCACGTGTAGATCGCCGCTTTGGTTTGTTTATAATAAATCCGTAAACCAGTACCGGAAATTGGCAGCGGGTACATCTGATAACCGATGTAAACACTTACTGGAAACAGTTGCAGTACATCTAATAACCGATGTAAAAAGTGCCAAAATATGCACTACAACTGCCGTTTTTACATCGGTCATCGGGACCAGCACTAGCCTTCAAAAAACTGGTCTGAGCCTCATTTTGACTGATAGGACTGATAGGACCGACAGGACCGACCATTTTTCGCGATCTCTGGTTCTCCAGAATATTTTTATAGGGGGATCAGATAGCTGCTTTGTCCATATGTTCATCTACCATAGATCTGTTTCTGGGTGTTTTTCTAAATACTCTTAAAGATCAGGATTAAGTTTGCATGTGTACTGATAGTAGGAACCAATTTCATTTTGAACATAAATGATGTAATAAAAGTGAAGTTCAATCTGGACAAATAGCATGAATAATTTGGGAATAATGGTCCTTGTAATATCTTGCATATGATTTATTACTTGAAATCATTAAAAATTACCTTTGTTGGGCAGTGTAGAGAATTTGCACATCATTTTGGCTCCTTGGAAAATATTAAAGTTATCAAACGTAAATGATCAATAAATGATAGTTCATAAATGTCATGTCAGTGTTCAAAGCCTGACATAGCCTTGATTTAACAGGAAAGTTTCTTCTGATTCTTGTTTTTATTGTTTGAGAATGATATGCATAAATTTATGGGGGAAAACAAATCGTTTGTTAATCTTTGACATTTCAAATAATTGATCAATTTCGATGTGATGAACAAATGCATATATGTAATTTATGATTTATTTAGATATTATAAAATTAAACCTTGTTGAAACATTTTGTAGAAATCAATTCAGAATGCAATGAATGCACCAGAGTTTGTTTTAACTGACTTTGCCAAATTTGATCGACCAGGACAGTTACATATTGCATTTCAAGCACTGTCTGAGTATGTGAAGTCCAAAGGACAGTTGCCTAAAAGCCGATCTAAAGTAAGTTTTAGTCTGAAAGGAGAGTCCAAGTAAGTTTTAGTCTGAAAGGAGAGTCCAAGTAAGTTTTAGTCTGAAAGGAGAGTCCAAGTAAGTTTTAATCTGAAAGGAGAGTCCAAGTAAGTTTTAATCTGAAAGGAGAGTCCAAGTAAGTTTTAGTCTGAAAGGAGAGTCCAAGTAAGTTTTAGTCTGAAAGGAGAGTCCAAGTAAGTTTTAGTCTGAAAGGAGAGTCCAAGTAAGTTTTAGTCTGAAAGGAGAGTCCAAGTAAGTTTTAGTCTGAAAGGAGAGTCCAAGTAAGTTTTAGTCTGAAAGGAGAGTCCAAGTAAGTTTTAGTCTGAAAGGAGAGTCCAAGTAAGTTTTAGCCTGAAAGGAGAGTCCAAGTAAGTTTTAGTCTGAAAGGAGAGTCCAAGTAAGTTTTAGTCTGAAAGGAGAGTCCAAGTAAGTTTTAGTCTGAAAGGAGAGTCCAAGTAAGTTTTAGTCTGAAAGGAGAGTCCAAGTAAGTTTTAGCCTGAAAGGAGAGTCCAAGTAAGTTCAAGTCCAAAAGTTATGTTTTGCATTGTTTATCATTTAAAGTCAACAACTAAAAAAGTAAAAACCAGAGGAACTCTGCTATTTATGTAGGAAAATAGATACTTTCATTTTTTTCTACAAACCTCATGAAGATTGAGATTTTTGGATTTATTATTAAAAAAATCTCCAGGAAGAGTACTTGGTAAAAGCCTTGGTTAACTATAATTCTCTTATAGGAATAGCCTGAAGGTGTAATACCACCATTGATTTTCCCCTATTAGTCTTAGTTAAATTTGCACTTTTCACAAAATTGTGCAAAATTTATCTTTATTTCAAATCAAGAAATACTTGGTTTGAGTAAAGTTTTATCCTGTCCAGTACTATAGACAAAATTTCACATAACATTTCATTGCATATAAGAAAATAACCATCACTGGAAGTTAACTAATCAAATTTTTACCCCTTTTTTTCCTGTGTACAAACTTTAGTAACCAAGTAACCTCAAGTTTCCAAAATATTCTATAGAAACACCAAATAAAAACATAATGGTGCTTTGAAACACCCAAGATATATGTTTATGACTCAGAAATTTTTTACTGCAATGAAATGTAGGATTAATTCCCTACAAATGTCAAATTCAAGGGAATATTTTTTTTCAACCCTTTTTCGTATGCAACCTGATGTGATGTACTATGATTTGGTGGTATTACACCTGAATACAATGTAAGTGATAGGAAAAAGTTTAATTTTGTTGGCCTATCCTGCAATGTGTTACAAAATTGCAACATTTCTATTGACTATTTGTTAGGTTAATGACCACTTTCAATGGTCACAGGAGACTACTTTTTCCTTATGGCAATGGAGATTTCTGATTTCTGCAATATTTAAACCGCCTGCATGTTTCACCTGAAAATATTCTTTTTGTCAAAAGTGATTCCGTTCTGTACAAAAGGCTTGAAAATATCTGATGTTGATGTTTTCAACACTGGAAGAAGACTTTGTGACTTCATACTGTTTAGATGCAAAAGACAAGAACTATGTTTCACAAAATTTTCTTATTTACAGTTTTATTTTTGCCATTACTGAAATAAGTTTAAAATAAACATATTTCCTAACAAAACTGTAACCATATTAGACTGTTGACAAAACATTAAAAGATCAAATCATTTATTTGCCATCATCAAAGGGAATTAGTTTTTACAATTCTTATTTTTTTGTGATTTTAGGCTGATACAGAAGCTTTTGTTGCTATTGCCAAACAGGTGAATAATCAATCTGGAGCTAAAGTTGATGAACTTGATGAATCTCTGATGAAGGAGTTCAGTTATTCTGCTAGAGGAGAATTATGTCCCCTGGCAGCTGTTATTGGTGGAATTGCGGCACAGGAAGTAATGAAAGCCTGTTCAGGAAAATTTGGTCCAGTTAATCAATATCTATATTTTGATGCCTTGGAATGTCTACCTGAAGAGAATGCAGAAAGTATACTTACAGAAGAAACATGCAAACCTGTAAGTTTATTATACCCCACGCAACGAGTTGCGGAGGGTATAATGTTTTTGACCCGTCCGTCAGTCCGTCAGTCCTGTTTCTTGTCATTGCAACTCCTCTCAAACCACACAACAGAATTTCACGAAACCTTTTTAGATAATAAGGACATACTATGTAGTTGTGCATATCGATAGAAAATTACGATTCAATTCTTTTTCTAGGAGTTACGCCCCTTTGAACTTATTTACTTTAATGTACTACTGCAACAGTTTGTCATCGCAGCTCCTCTCAAACCACACAACAGAATTTCATGAAACCTTTTCAGATAATAAGGACATACTAAGTAGATGTGCATATCGACAGGAAATTACGATTCAATTTTTTTTCCAGGAGTTACGCCCCTTTGAACTTATTTGCTCAATATACTACTGCAACATTTTGTCATCGCAACTCCTCTCAAACCACACAACAGAATTTCATGAAACTGTGTAGATAATGAGGACAAACTATGTAGATGTGCATATTGACAGGAAATTAGGATTAAATTTTTTTTTCTGATACAATTTTTATACGACCGCAAAAAAAATTTTGTGGTCGTATATTGGTAGGACGTTGGCGTCGTCGTAGTCGTCCGGCGTTTTCCGAAGACACATTGGTTTTCGCACTCTAACTTTAGTTTAAGTGAATGGATCTCTATGAAATTTTACCACAAGGTTCAATACCACAAAAGGAAGGTTGGGATTGATTTTAGGGGTTATGGTACCAACAGTAAAGGAATTAGGGGCCAAAAATAAGCATTTTTGTAACTTCCAGACATAACTTGTGTGTAAGTGTATGGATCTCTCTGACATTGTACCACAAGGTTCCATATCACAAAAGGAATGCTGGGATTGATTTTGGGGGTAATTGCCTCAAAATTTTAGGAATTAGGGGCCAAAAAAGGGGCAAAAAACAAGCATTTTTCTAGTTTCATGACAAGAACTTGTGTGTAAGTGTATGGATCTTTCTGAAATTGTACTACAAGGTTCCATATCACAAAGGGAAAGCTGGAATTGAGTTTGGGGATAATTGCCGAAACGTTTAGGAATTGGGGGCCAAAAAGGGGCCAAAAATAAGCATTTTTCTAGTTTCCAGACAATAACTTGTGTTCAAGTGTATGGATCTCTCTGAAATTGTACTGCAAGGTACCATACCACAAAGGGAAGGCTGGGATTGATGATGGGGGTAATTGCCTCAATATTTTAGGAATTAGGGGCCAAAAAGGGGCAAAAAACAAGCATTTTTCTAGTTTCAGGACAATAACTTGTGTGTAAGTGTATGGATCTTTCTGAAATTGACTACAAGGTTCCATATCACAAAGGGAAAGCTGGGTTTGAGTTTGGGGGTAATTGCCCTAAACGTTTAGGAATTTGGGGCCAAAAAGGGGCTAAAAATGTTAATAACTTTCTTAAACTATCCTGGATTTCTACCAAACTTGGACAGAAGCTTGTTTATGATCATAAGATAGTATCCGGAAGTAAATTTTGTAAAAAAAAAAATCTTGTTTTTCCGTATTTTACTTATAAATGGACTTAGTTTTTCTGCCAGGAAACATTACATTCACTCAGTGGTTAAAGTTTTAAAAATTTTAATAACTTTCTCAAACTATCCTAGATTTCTACCAAACTTGGACAGAAGCTTGTTTATGATCATAAGATAGTATCTAGAAGTAAATTTAAAAAAAAAAAATTCCTGTTTTTCCGTATTTTACTTATAAATGGACTAAGTTTTTCTGCCAGGAAACATTACATTCACTCTGTGGTTAAAAGTTTTTAAAATGTTAATAACTTTCTTTAACTATCCTGGATTTGTACTAAACATGGACAGAAGTTTGTTTATGATCAAAAGCTAGTATCTAGAAGGAAATTTTTATTAAAATTTTGTACTTGTTTATCCATATTTTACTTATAAATAGACTTAGTTTTTCTTCGAGTTAACATTACATACAGTCTGCAGTTAAATTTTTTAAAACATTTATTAGATTCATAAACTATCCTGGATTTTTACCAAACTTGGACAGAAGCTTCATACAATAAAAAAATTTATTGAGAGGAATATTTTTATTAAATTTTTTCCTCATCTCATTTTTGTTGAACCTGCGATTAACAGCAAGAGTAGGCGAGACACTGGGTTCCGCGGAACCCTTACAAATTTTTCTAGTTTCCAGACAATAAATTGTGTTCAAGTGTATGGATCTCTCTGAAATTGTACTGCAAGGTACCATACCACAAAGGGAAGGCTGGGATTGAGTTTGGGGGTGATGAATCATAAGGGGGTTCAAAAAATTGGGGGGGGGGGGGGATTTTTTTTTTTTTCCTTTTTTTCCTTTTTTTTTTTCTTTTAAAATTTTCTATTTTAAGTTGGTTATTTCTGATTTATATTTAAAAGCAAATAATAATGATATGGTAGGAGATACACACCAAACAGGATGTGTAAATTATTATATAATAAGTATTGTGCAATAGCAAGAAATTTTCAATTGCACAGTATTGCACAATAGCAAGAAATCTTCAATTGCACAGTATTGCGCAATAGCAAGAAATCTTCAATTGCACAGTATTGCGCAATAGCAAGAAATATCCAATAGCACAATATTGCGCAATAGCAAGAAATTGTCAATTGTACAGTATTGCACAATAGCAAGAAATATTTAATTGCACAGTATTGTGCAAAAGAAGATACTTCGTATAAATTGCTTATTTCTTGACCAATTTCAATGGGGTTTTATTCTTGAATTCTTGGGGTTCTTTAATATGCTGAATCTAACCGTGTATTTTAGTTTTTGGATTTTGGGCCCTGTTTTTAAATTGGTCCACATTGAGGTCCAAAGGGTCCAAAATTAAACCTTGTTTGATTTCATCAAAAATTGAATTATTGGGGTTCTTTGATATGCCGAATCTAACCATGTATTTAGATTCTTAAATTTTGGTTCCGTTTTCAAATTGGTCTACATTAAGGTCCAAAGGGTCCAAAATTAAACTTAGTTTGATTTTAACAAAAATTGAATATATGGGGTTCTTTGATATGCTGAATCTAAACATGTATTTAGATTTTTGATTATGGGCCCAGTTTTCAAGTTGGTCCAAATCAGGGTCCAAAATTAAACTTTGTTTGATTTCAACAAAAATTGAATATATGGGGTTCTTTGATATGCTGAATCTAACCATGTATTTAGATTTTTGATTTTTGGGCCCCGTTATCAACTTTGTCCACATTGAGGTCAAAAGGGTCCAAAATTAAACTTTGTTTGATTTCATCAAAAATTGAATTTTTGGGGTTCTTTGATATGCTGAATCTAACCATGTATTTAGATTTTGGATATTGGACCATAATAGGTGAATGTCCAATTTAAAATTTTTAAGTTCTTAGACCACATTCATTCTGTGTCAGAAACCTATGCTGTGTCAAATATTTAATCACAATCCAAATGCAAAGCTGTATCAAGCTTGAATGTTGTGTCCATACTTGCCCCAACTGTTCAGGGTTCGACCTCTGCAGTCGTATCAAGCTGCACCCTGCGGAGCATTTTATTTTTTCTTACACTTATTTTATTTCTCCAATGACAATGTGGGGACGTGGGGTATGTGAGCGTGCTCACTAAGGTTCTTTCATTATAAAGTATGGCAGTAATCTTGGAAACCAAGGAATTTATTTGGCTTTAAGATATTCCATACTGCCTATTATGAATTTTTTTTGGGGGGGGGGGGGGGGGGGGGGAATGGAGCTTTAAATTTCATATGTTGCTGGGCTCCTGGGGAAAATAGATTTAAAATTAACTTTATATTTAGAAAACATTAATTACCATGTTTAAAAAATCTTTAAAAGAATATAAAAAATTATTGAGAGATATTTATTTTGTGTGTAATTATTTATTCCTCCTTAATAATGTTGGTTTTTTTTTTGTAGCTAAACTGTAGATATGATGGTCAGATTGCAGTATTTGGCAAGGACTTTGTTAAGAAAATGGGTGCACAAAAATACTTTCTGGTAAGTATATAATCTCAAAGGGAATTTCTTTTTTTCATAAATCCTTGTACATTAAATATATCGCATATACCGGTTAAAAGATAGTAAATTAAATGTGAGGGGAAATGGCAAATTTTCAAGTGAATGTGGGAAAAACATACGATATAACAAATGTCAGAAAGGCAATGCATATTTAAGAATACTGTTGATTATGCTTCATTTAAATAAAAACAATTCAGATAGAATAAGGTCACAGACTATTTAAACAAGTAGCATTTAGATCCCTTTTGATATTTTTCGAACAACGTTTTTGTCGAGCCTGCGACTTTTGTCGCAAAAGCGACCCATAGCGATCCTACATTCCATCGGTGTCTTCGTCTGCGTCCACAAATATTCACCCTGTGGTTAAAGTTTTTGAAATTTTATTAACTTTCTTAAACTATCCTTCATTTCAACCAAACTTGGACAGAAGCTTGTTTTGATCATAAGATAGTATCCAGAAGAAAATTTTGTAAAAAAAAAAAATCCTGTTTTTTCGTATTTAACTCATAAATGGACTTAGTTTTTCTGCCAGTTAACTTTACATTCACTCTGTGGTTAAAGTTTTTGAAATTTTAATAACTTTCTTAAACTATCCTAGATTTGTACCAAACTTGGACAGGAGATTGTTTATAATCATAAGATAGTATCCAGAAGAAAATTTTGTAAAAAATAAATCCTGTTTATCCGTAATTTACTCATATATGGACTTAGTTTTTCTGCCAGTTAACATAACATTCACTCTGTGGTTAAAGTTTTTCAAATTTTAATAACTTTCTTAAACTATCCTGTATTTGTACCACACTTGGACAGAAGCTTGTTTGTGATCATAAGATGGTATTCAAAAGTAAATTTTGTTAAAAAAAAATCCTGTTTATCCGTATTTCACTTATAAATGGACTTAGTTTTTCTGCCAGTTAACATTACATTCACTCTGTGGTTAAAGCTTTCAAAATTTTAATAACTTTCTTAAACTATCCTGGATTTGTACCACACTTGGACAGAAGCTTCTTTATGATCAAAAGCTAGTATCTAGAAGGAAATTTAAAAAAAAATTATTTCCTGTTTTTCCGTATATTACTTATAGATGGACTTAGTTTTATTCCAGTTAACATTACGTTCAGTCTGCAGTTAAAGTTTTTAAAACATTTATTAGATACATAAACCTTCTTGGATTTTTACCAAACTTAACAGAACTTCTTACAATCAAAAGATAGTATCTAGAGGAAAATTTTTTAATAATTTTTTCCCCATTTTTGTTGAGCCTGTGACTAACAGCAAAAGTAGGCGAGACACTGGGTTCCGCGGAACCCTTACGAATTTTTGAATACAACATTTTAAGAAATTATTTTAATGTAATAATATAAAAGTATGGATATGCTGGATTTGTTTTGTGGTCAAGTCATTTTGGTTGACTCGCAGTATCAACAGTACTTGGATATTTAATGTCAATGAAGTTTTATTATATTTTGATAACAGGTAGGGGCAGGTGCAATAGGATGTGAGATGTTGAAGAACTGGTCTATGATGGGACTTGGTTGTGATGGAGGGAAAGTGATAGTTACAGATATGGACATCATAGAAAAATCTAACCTCAACAGACAGTTTCTGTTCAGACCCTGGGATGTACAGGTGGGTATTCAGAAAAGTTTTATTAGTTACTTTCTGTGTTCAGACCCTGGGATGTACAGGTGGGTACTCATAAAAGTTTCATCAGTTACTTTCTGTCAAAACAGAATGAGAGTAAATCTCGTGTAGATTTTTTTCTGATTTTACAATAAAAAAGAAAAACAGTGAAAAACTAAATTTAACAACAAAAGGTCATTTTCCAATATTTCCACATTTTTTTTGCTTTCTATATCTTGTAGAAAAAAAAGCATGTAAAAAAAAGAGAACAAACAATACTTTCAAAAGTTTCCATTGAATGTATATAACTTGATTTTAATTAGCATTTGGCAACATCAAAGTTAATTTGATTTGCATATCACATATTGGTTATTCTTCATGGTACCTATGTAGCAAAATTTGATGTCCATGTTTTCATGTTACTAGTATTATAATTACCTTAAACTATAAGTCACCTATAGAATGATTAAAATTGGAGCTTTTAGTGATTTAAAAAAAAACTTATTCTGATACATGTACCATATTTCTGAATCCAAAAGAAGAGCCTTGTAACTTGTTATACATGGAGAGAGTTACCATCCTTGGCATTATCAAAACAGAGATTGTAACAATTGGCAGTTTATGTGTGGGTGTTGCAAGAATATGTGTCTCAAAAGTCAAAATTGGATTGGTTTTGGTATACATCAAGAGAACCTTCTGGTTATTTATTTTTACTAAATCTTTATATCTTTAAGTGTTTTCAGAAGACAAGTAAAACATTACAACCAAATATTTTTCTGGAAAAGAAAAGAAAATAATTACCAGTGCAGGCTAGTGCTTTGCCTACAGTCAGTGGGTTATATCACCAGTGCAGGCTAGTGCCATACACATTGTCTTACATATAAATCACTTGGCCTACAGTGAGTGGGTTATATCACAGACTTATTGAATAATATCAAGAGTTTGAAGAAAATATGACAACTGTAGTTGAATTGAAAGTAGAGTGAGCTATTCATTGAATTATATATATATATGTTTATTTTGTCTTCTTTTTTAGAAACCGAAATCAGGTACTGCGGCCAATGCTGCAAAGGAAATGAATCCTGCATTTAACATAATATCACAGGAGAATAGAGTAGGTGGAGAGACAGAAAATATATATACTGACGAATTCTTTGAAGATCTAGATGGCATCACAAACGCTTTAGATAATGTTGATGCAAGTGAGTAGACATTGTAGATTTTCCTCAAGATTTGTATACAAGTTGAATGATGATACTCGAGTGTTTCATGTCTAGAGTACAGTCAAACCTGCCTTAACGGTTACCTGTCTCCAACGGTCACTCTCAGACCCTCCAAAACTTTTTCTCTATATATAACTCAAATCAGCTTTCACCTGTCTAACTAGGTCAGCGGTCACCTAATTTTGCCACAAGATCTTCTTTACAGCTTTTAACAACAGTCATTTTAATGTTTTTAATTACGGAAATAATCATGACGAAAATATATGTTCGTCAGTCAAAATAAAAATCGGAACCCGTTTGCAACTGAGACTGCACAATAGGAGGTGTTCTCGTGAATTCCTCATGTTCCACTTCTTTCCTTTACCCTCTAAACTGTATTGCCAATTTATTTCTCAACGAATATTAATATATTTTTAATGTTTTCTTCAAATCTACTACACTGGAATCTGCCATTTTTTATTTCACTGACGCAAGAACCATAAATCTACCGATTGAAAACACTAAAACAATTAGCCCCGATCCCGGCCACAGGCGATGATGGAATCAGAATTTTTTTAGGAACCTCATTTAAAAGGTCACCTCTCTTGAGTGGTCACTTTTGATACTTACCAAGAGTGACAACTTAATACAGGTTTGACTGTACTTGTTTATTCAATAAATCTTTATAGAACTCATTACCAAACACTTTAGCATATCAGATTTGTGCAAAATTAATATTTGAATTTGCTTTGCTTAATTGGCAAAACAAATCTGTAAACTTTTATGAAGTCCTACTTGTGTTTACTGTTTATATGTATGAATTCATTTGTTTTCAATTGACAGTTACCTGTAAATGTAGTTCATATAAAATTAATCAATTAATTGTCAGTTGTGATCTAACCAATATCTTTTTCCTTCAAACTTTGATAAATTGTTTCTTTGATGCAGTATGTCAGATTTATTCTAGAAATGATTTAAATGACTTACCATTTTATATTTAAATGAACTTTTAGGAATGTATATGGATAGACGCTGTGTATATTACTGTAAACCACTTCTGGAATCGGGCACACTAGGAACAAAAGGAAATGTACAAGTAAGTTTTCTATATAGACATTATCACTTTTATAGTACCCTGTAAACAATAGTTTGTCATTATGATTTCAATATTTTACATTATACTAGGAAAATTCATACAGGTGAGACATATCTCTAGGTCAAGTGTATTGTTTAGATAATCACGAAATTTGAGAGACATCTTTTTATGCTAGGATTTCAACAAACAAAATGCTAAAAAGATATATGCTTTACAAAAAAGATATCATGTGTCAAAAATAATGTGCATTTTGTGAAAATTAATTTTGTTAAGAATAATCATATATTTGCATCAGTATTAATTATTTGTTTCTGTGTCTCACATACAATAATGCAAGTGGGACCCTTGTTGATATGTCAGATTTCTAGCAATTAGTTATACTTCTATAATTGGCAGGTTATTTTGCCATATGTGACGGAATCCATCTCCTCTACTGATCGAAAAGAAGAGTTGGTTCCTTTTAAATGTCTGCAATTTCCACAAACGATTAATCATATTTTACAGGTATTTTACTGTGCTCATTTTAATTGGTAGGTAATTTTGCCACATATGACTGAATCCTACTCCTCATCACAGGATGCAGTAGATGAGACCTTCATGTCTTGCACACTCAAATTTTTTCCGTACGTTATTGACCATACTCTAAAGGTAATGTAAAGAACTATATAAATACTCAGAATTTTGTTTTCATCAACAGGTTGTCCTCCCACACATGACAGAGTCGTATTCATCATCACAAGACCCTCCAGAAAAATCCATTCCCATTTGTACGTTAAAAAATTTCCCAAATGCTATTGAGCATACATTACAGGTAAGAAATGCATGACCCCTCCAGGTGTATGTTTGTATTTGTAGTTTGTTATCCCAGTATGTGGAAGGTTTTATATATTCAAAAGTTTTGCATGTTTTTAGATTACAAAGAAGAATGGGTATATATTTTTTTACCCTTCTGTCCGTCAATCCAATATTCATTTTGGTATCCAGATTCTAAATTAAGTACTTTATATCTGATTGCAACCTTCATTGGATATATGATCACATATAATGAGAGGAAATTACCTATATCATTTTGATGTTATATATGATCACATATAATGAGAGGAAATTCCCTATATCATTTTGATGTTATATATGATCACATATAATGAGAGGAAATTCCCTATATCATTTTGATGTTATATATGATCACATATAATGAGAGGAAATTCCCTATATCATTTTGTTGTTATATATGATCACATATAATGAGAGGAAATTCCCTATATCATTTTGATGTTATATATGATCACATATAATGAGAGGAAATTCCCTATATCATTTTGATGTTATATATGATCACATATAATGAGAGGAATTCCCTATATCATTTTGATGTTATATATGATCACATATAATGAGAGGAAATTCCCTATATCATTTTGATGTTATATATGATCACATATAATGAGAGGAAATTCCCTATATCATTTTGATGTTATATGTGATCACATATAATGAGAGGAATTCCCTATATCATTTTGATGTTATATATGATCACAAATAATGAGAGGAAATTCCCTATATCATTTTGATGTTATATATGATCACATATAATGAGAGGAATTCCCTATATCATTTTGATGTTATATATGATCACAAATAATGAGAGGAAATTCCCTATATCATTTTGATGTTATATATGATCACATATAATGAGAGGAAATTCCCAATATCATTTTGATGTTATATATGATCACATATAATGAGAGGAATTCCCTATATCATTTTGATGTTATATATGATCACATATAATGAGAGGAAATTCCCAATATCATTTTGATGTTATATATGATCACATATAATGAGAGGAATTCCCTATATCATTTTGTGTTCTAAGTTCTTGGTCATAGTTATTAAAAAAAACAGACATTTGTGCAGGTGAATGGTTTCTAGATGCTTAAACAACTACTATAAATGGGATCACAACCTCACTTGCTTAACTAGCCAGGTATTATGAAAGGAAATCTCTATTGATTTGAGGTCACCACTTCTAAGGTCAATGTCATAGTTACTAAAAATAGATAAAAACTTGTGCAGGACAGTTGTCATTGGATCCTTAATCAATTTTTTTTTTATCAGATTGCAACTTTTCTTGATATATATGGTCACATATAATAAGACGCTCCATATTGATTTTGAGGTCACTACCTCTAAGGCCTATGTCATAGTTACTAATTAATAGACTGAAATTTGTGCAGGAAAGTTGTTTCCTGATGCTAAAATCAAATATTTGATATCAGATTGCAACCTTACTTGGATACGTGGTCAGATATAATGAGAGGAAGAACTCTATTGATATTGAAATCACTAAGACTAAGGATTAGTTATTGTCTTATATGTGGGCTTAGTTGAATATTTTTACATAACATTTAGTTCTATATAGACGACATTCAGTTATCTATTGATCATTCAAAAGAAGTTTGCTGTATTTACAATTTACAATTTTTTACAAAATGTTTTCTATAAAGGCAAGGTCCTTTATCTAATTGCTTAATTGAATATTTCCAAATTTTTACGCTTTGATATGCCCTATAGAGGCAGGTCCATTTCAATTTCAATCCATTCTTATAATTATGGGACTCTTTAAAAAAGTGGGGGTATACTGTTTTACCTCTGTCTGTCCATCCGTCAGTCCTTCCGTCAGTCCGTTCTTCCGTCCCATGAATATTTTTCGTCGCATCTTTCTCAGGAACTACAATACAAGGATTTCTGACATTTGGTTTCAGGGTTTATATAAGTCAGCTATACCGTGTGATGTGTTTTCAGATTCATCACTCAACAACTTCCTGTTTACTGAACATTTGTATTATTTTACACATGATCGCCAAGTTGAAAATTTTCGTCACATTTTTCTCAGGAACTACAATACAAGGATTTCTGAAATTTGGTTTCAGGGTTTATATAAGTCAGCTATACTGTGTGATGTGTTTTCAGATTCATCACTCAACAACTTCTGTTTACCCAAAAATTTGGACGTGGGTATCATCAGTGAGCAGTAGCTCGCAGTTTCACTTGTTCTTTTAAATTTGACAATTCATGATAACAAAAGGATACGGCCAGGAATGTCTAAATTTGGCCCTGAAAAATTATCAATTTCTTATCAGGTTTGAAAACAAATATTCACAATCTTAAATATTGATATTACATAGTCGTATTTTTCAGTTAGAATTTAAGCCTTTTCTAGCCAATTCTTTTCTACAATATTGACCAAAATAAAGTATTAGATTAGATTTCCTTATGATTTGATATCCAAACATTCTTGGTTGCACAGAATATGATTCAACTTGGTAAAACATTGTACATTTTTAGAGTGTTTAATAGTTGAAAAATGATAACAGCACTTTCAATTTTTCAGTGGGCCCGTGATCAGTTTGAAGGATTGTTTAATCAGCCAGTAGAGTCAGCTCTGCAGTACCTCTCTGACCCAAAATTTATGGAGAGGACATTGAAATTGCAAGGTACTCAACCAGTAAGTACACTTATTCAGGATGTCTTTTGTAAATGCTATACTCCGGACACCTTAAAAAATGATAGTTGATTGAACATCATTTCATATAAGATATGATATATTATTGTAAACATATACAGACATGTCATGCATGTCCCTTTATAAATGGAAAAATTGGCAAATTTGAAGTATCATAATATAACTTTATTTTGCCTCAACCAAATGTTCTGAAACTGATACACAATGTTTATTACCACCAAACACAGATCAAGATTGAATTCGGGTGGTGTCATTTTCACAGTTCTTGAGTTATGTCCCTTAGTAAATTAAAAAATTTCAGAATTTGTCATATATTTATAAACAGGGGCATTTTTGTCTCATGAACACATTCTTTATCTATTCAAAATAAAATTGTTTTACAGTTTTCAATTTGTCCCTGCATAAAATATGACTTGGAATTAGAGGATAGTTAAAACTCTGTTCTACTGAAAATTACACTGTTTCAGCAGTGATGCTCTCCAGTACATTTACTGGTTTTGAATTTATAATTTTGACAGATAGCAAAGATGAATTATAGTATATTGGGGTTGATTAAGAGTTATTAATAAATTCATATGAATGAAAAATATATATCTGGGTCAGAGCTATTTTAGGAAAAAAATATTTTTTATTTTCAATTGAGTAAAATTATAAAGATAACAAAAAATTATGCAGTGCAAAGATATTTAGCAAAAAAGAGAATATATATTTTATAGATATTATGTTGATCATATAAACTGAAAAGGGGAACCATTTTCTTGTAAAAGGTTTTATGTGTCATATTTCAATTATTGCAGACTGAAACATTGGAAACTGTCAAGAAAGCTTTGACCACAGAGAGACCAAAGGACTTTCAGGAATGTGTAGCTTTTGCTCGTAATCTTTTCCAAGAGAATTATAATAATTCAATACGACAGCTTCTGTTTAACTTTCCATCAGACCAGGTAACTAGTTCATAAGTGACTACATATGTTTTAGATGCTTTTTGTCAGCAGTAAGTCCAGTACGGTATAGAATGTGGATTCATTATTATTCATGGGGTACCAATTTTCATGGATTTCATGGGTATTGGTAAACCACTAATTTAAGTGTTCAACTGAGTATAAATATTCAATAGGGTTATATGTAAACCTTGGCAAATCCAGGAAAATACACTTTATCCTTCATTTCATAAAAAATGGTACCTATGAATTAGATGTATCCAAAGTATTTGATATACATTAAATCTTTTAGAGAGGGAAACATCACTGATTAAGAATAAACCCCTGAGTTTTGAATAGAAGGATTTGATACTATATTTAATAATTAACATTGTTCTTTATAAACCGTTAAACCTGCCTGTTATTGTTATTTCACAATATGAACACAGATCCACAGAAGTCTTTTGCAGGATATCATTCATATTTTTATCAGACTTGATTGTGATGTTTAATGATCATGCTTCCCCAAAATTGGCAATCTGGTGCAAAAAACGTCAAATTTTTATGGTTCTATTCGTTGACCTGTGTGACCAAGGGATGCAGATAGGTGCAGCTTATTGTTGCATGCAAAGAGAGTGCACCCCATAGAACACATGTACTATAAACAATAGTGCTTAGGTCTGAGAGAACTGATCTGGGCATGGCAGCCTTTAAGGAGGTTATTTTAACCAAAAATCCAGACCATCCTGATATTTTTAGGCAGTTAAGCTGCCTTATGCTAGCACCCTAGATTTGTGTTTTTCCTAACGAATGCTGAAAAAAGTGCCATTGTTGTAATCTAGCAGGCTAATATGTTATATATAACTAATTGGACATTTTTTTCATTCTTTTAATTCTGGAATACAAAAAATATGACCAGAATAACCTTAAATGATCGTCGAACGACGCATAATATTTGAAGTTGCACATAGGAAATAGTGCTCAATAGAAATCCGTACGTAGTTTATTATCCCCTGTGCTTTTGGCTAAGATGGCAAAGAACAATTGTATGAAATATTTCATCGCCGAAAATCTGTAATTACAAGTCGTTTATATTTCCCAAATGGCAAATTGCGCAGGAATATTGTTCATGTACACCAAATCTCTATGATAGAGGGAATAAAGTTATATATAGTACACATGTAGTCTAAGTTGGCGGTAATTTTAACTTGCACGAAACGTAAGTTCGTTTGATTCTGATGATATAAAGTCCGATTAAGCGAAAGTACTCTTAATCATGATATTCTTTTAGTTTAAGACGATTGTGATTATTTAATTGATTTCAATTAAATGTATGCACATTTAAATTCCTTTCTTTTATTAAATTATTCCGTTTATCACTGAACTTGTTGTTATTTTATGAATGAAAAACCGGAAATCGACGTAATCAATGTCGACCAATCAGGTCGATGTTTTAAGAAATGCGGAATAACTCGTCCCAGAGACAAGTCGGACCGGGCCACTCGGACCGTCTAAGAAAACAACTCGGACCCCTTGTCAGATTAACTTAGGGTTTCATAAAATGTAAGACTAACATGTCTAGCGGAGCCATCAATCTTTCGTTTGTGCATTGGGAACTATTTAGGGGTATTTTGAGGGGCCTAAAGAAGGGAGGGGTTTACTGTAGAACCCTATGGGATTTTATTTTCAAATGACTATTTATACTCGAAAACAGTAAGTGATAGACACGCGTGGTCTTCAGTAATGAGAACAGGACAATGAAACAAATCAAATAAAATATAGGGTGAGTCATCCCTTCAATTTGAAAATGTTCTTTTATCTTGTAAACGGTCGCGATCCCCACCCCTAAACCATATATATACTTGTATGGGACAATAAAACAAATCAAATGAAAATTTGGGGGAATCCCTGGGGTCACCCCACCCCCTCCTGTTTGAGAACTTGGAAACGGTCGAGATCCCCACCCCTAAACCATATATATTAATATATAGGACAATATAACAAATCAAATGAAATATAGGGGGAGTCCCTGGGGTCACCCCACCCCCTCTTGTTTGAGAACTTGGAAACGGTCGAGATCCCCACCCCTAAACCATATATATTGATGTATGGGACAATATAACAAATCAAATGAAATATAGGGGGAGTCCCTGGGGTCACCCCACCCCCTATTGTTTGAGAACTTGTAAACGGTTGAAATCCCCACTCCTAAACCATATATATTCATGTATGGGACAATATAACAAATCAAATGAAATATAGGGGGAGTCCCTGGGGTCAACCCACCCCCTCCTGTTTGAGAACTTGTAAACGGTCCCCACTCCTAAACCATATTTATTCCTGTTTGTCATTTCAAAATAATTTGAATGATATACAGGGTCAATCTCCTAGGCGTCACATTATGTGACATATGCATATCACTTTACTAGACCAAACCAATGTGTACTGGACTTTGCCCAATGTCAGGCGACCATGGGAATGACAAATTATGGGAGCTTTGTTTGGGAGACTTCGTAACAGCATCCTGTTACAATTATTTCTTGTTTATTATAAAATTGTATTGATGCAAAAAATGAGTCTAGGTAAATTGAATTTACTTTAATTATTTTTTGAATTATTTCTGGGCCTATAAAAATTTGCATTTATGGCTCATTTTAAAGAAACGTATAAATCTTTCAAGCAGTGTAAAGCCCAAGAATGTTTGACCAATTGTTTTATTTGACCGGAGAACCTGAGATCACCCCCAGTTTTTGGTGGGGTTCGTGTTGCTTAGTCTTCAGTTTTCTATGTTGTGTCATCTGTACTATTATTTGTCTGTTTGTCTTTTTATTTTTGGCCATGGCGTTGTCAGTTTGTTTTCAATCTATGAGGTTGACTGTCCCTCTGGTATCTTTCGTCCCTCTTTTATAATCACCTGTCATTTTATTCCAAACTTGGTATGGAGTGATATCACGGACTTGGGGTGAAGGTGGGGGTCATTTACATTTACTATGGTCAGGGCAGTCAGACCTCACCTTTGATCCCTGTAGTAGTAAACATTTGTCTGATTTGTCTCTCATAACTTTTGTACTGTAGAACCCAAACTCAGTGTTCCTTCCAGGGAAGCAAGTCCATTCATACAATTACGTCAACTTGTACCACTAAAAGTCAACTGGTACCAACGTTAACTACCAACTAGAACACCTGCAATCATTGCGAACTTGTACCACTGCAGACTCACCATTAAAAATATACATTGATATATGCGTTGCTTTAGAAAACCTTGATAAAATATTAATTAATTTGCCTTAATAATCAATTCATCAAATAAACATAAATGTAGAATATACGAATGTTTAATGTTTGTTCTTTCAAATCTGAAAAAAAAATTTGAAGCAACACTGCCACAGTTTTCATAATTACGTTTGCCTTGGTTTTTGGTTAACTGCCTGCAGCGCTTACAGTGCTTTGATTTTTCAATTTTTGGTCTTACTTGGAACTGCAACTGGAAGTAGATGTTCTGGAAACATATCTAAATCATAAACAGTCAGTAGTAAATCTATGATAGTTTACCTGTTTTGGAACCTCCAGACCTCTGTCCTGTGTGGGCAAAACATAGAAGGAAACAGAAACCTCAAGAATTTCCATATTTATTTTATTTCAATATTAAAATTTAAATTTAGGCTCAAACTGCACTCTTAAACCTGATGAACATAACAATAAATAGCTCCTTAGATTGAGGAGACATGCATGCATTTTGGAATCAATATTAAACAGCTAGCCTTTAAAAGTGTTGTGAACAATTTAAGTCCAAAAAACCAAGATTTAGGGTATAGGATGTAATATTACAACCCTGGCTGCATGGTAAGGGTCAAGACTTAATAATTTTGTAAGCATAATTTCACCTTCTGAAAGTATCTTCTGTGAAATTGTTTGTTTTATAGCTTTCATATTTTGTAGAATGCTTTGTCATGGTGTGAAGCCCAACATTATATATTGCCACTATGATTGAAAGGAGTATAAACCTTTAAATGCATGCAAATATAAACCTTTTGGTTGCGACTCTTCTTACTTATTTCTTACAGCTCTTATATTCTTTAGCATATTTGGTCATGAATGAATGAATGAGTGAATTGATGGTATCCTCGGGTTTGGTTCATCCCAAGTGAATTTTTTTAACAAAATTTTATATGAATTGTTTCTTTTTGCAGGTTACATCATCAGGGGCACCTTTCTGGTCAGGACCCAAAAGATGTCCACATCATCTAGAATTCAGTATCAATAATGTAAGTTGTATAATACGGTTAGAATTAGTATTTTAAACTATTTAGCCAGAACTTAATTATATTTATAGCTATTGATTTTGGGTTTGTTTTCTATTAAAAGAAAATAACTCATTCAGTTTAAAAAAAAAATAAGGAATTAAAGTGTGATTTATACTAAAGATACTGACTGGTTCTTTTCAAAAACTGAAAACAACCTAACAACCCTTTGATGAATTATTCTTACAGGAATGTGTTGTCTACTGGTAATAGTAACTGAATCAGCTCTTCAAATTTTGAATTGATTTTCAGCCAATCATCTTATGTCTGTTACTTAAATAATAATGTTGAACCCATAGTAATAGCATAACGTAATAGTAACTGGGAAGTTACAGAGAGAAAAAAAAGAGATGGGTGCAGACAGTGTTCAAAATATTTCTGAATAAGTGAGGCCAGCTTCAGGTTTTGTGATCTTTTCCCAATACAGATGTGTTACATTTTCAAAACCAGATAGCATTGTTGATAGAAAAGGCTGATAACTTTGAAATTATCTCATTATCTATGAACTGTGATAAAAGTTACTAATTTAAGGGTAGTGGACCAACTGTCAAATGATAGTTGAGGAAGGATTTCTTGTGAGCTTTTATTTAATTAGAATCTTAATAACTTTTTTACAGGATGTCCATGTAGATTTTGTTGAAGCAACTGCTAATCTTCGGGCTGAAATGTATGGAATACCACAAGTTCGTGATAGGAAAGCTATTAAAAGTATGATTGAGAAGGTCAAAGTTCCAGAGTTCACACCAAGGTCAGGAGTCAGAATAGATGTGAATGATGCTGACATGGAAGCTAACAGAAATTCAGGATCTTTTGGTTAGTATACAATACCAAAGGTGGAATATTTACAGCTTTTGCTTTCTGTATGCATACTATACTGAGTAATGATCACTAATCAAACTTGTAAACTATATTTTTGTGTTGTGCTGTTAAGTTTAGTCTAATTTTCTGTCTAATAAGTAATTCTAACCCTAATTTTTACCACTTAATAATTATGTAAAATTCCTAATTTACATATTGCAATAAACTCATCATAGATACCAGGCTAAAAACTTTGTACACCATATGCACTTATTGTCTACAAAAGACTGATTAGTGATGCTTAAAGATCTAAAATAATATCCCTAGATTTATTTTTATAAAAAAGATCATGGCTATTACCCTGAAATATTTGATCCTAGATCAAAAAGCATGTTTTATTGCATTGGCGTCTGCTTAATTCTGTTTTTGCATTAATGCAGTATCCAGTTAAAAATCTGAAACAATAATCCATTTTAGCAAGGATAACCATACAATCAGACATGAAATCCTCCATCTCACAAGTGCATATGGTGAAACGCAATGTTGATTATGCTGCAACAATTCAGTTTAGAAATTTCACATATACTTGTTTAGTCACTTAACAATCTATAGTATTTTGAAACATAAACATTTACATACATATTTCAGATGAAAATCAATTAGAAGAATTACAGAAGTCGATACCACCTCCAGAAAGCTTAAAGGAATTAAAATTAAAACCTATAGACTTTGAAAAAGACGATGACACAAATTATCATATGGACTTTATTGTTGCTTGCTCAAATTTACGTGCACTAAACTATGATATCCCTCCGGCAGATAGACATAAGGTTTGTATATTTGTACAAAAACTATAACATTGAGATGAATAAATGTGCGTTTACAATTATATGAAGACATACTTCTTTAATCAATTTCATCTTTTCATCTTTTGATGCTGATAGTTATGTCCTGAAACCATGATTTTATCAGACTGACTGACCAGTTTAAGCTGGAGACATTCTGGAATTACTCATCTTTTCTACAGTATTGGTAAAATCTATTTTGTGCAAAAATCATGAAACTTTTCAAGCAGACTGCATATGTCAATCCTTTGCTTAGGTAAAGATAACTGGATACTTGTACCTCAAACCCATGTCCAGGTGCTAACTTTAAGGATGTTTCAGCAACAAAATAATGTATCGTTTATTTTTAAAGTTTTGAAGTTTTTGCATTTTTACAACTTTTATTTTTAAAGTATTGAATTTTTTGCATTTTTACAAAAAGAAAAAAGTTTGCCCAATCAAAGACAAGAAAAGAGGCTTGCGGACAGTTTTTAAATGACTTGTAAAGAATGAACTAAATTGACTTCTAAAGAATGAACAGCTCTTTCAATCCATTCAGTGAGATGTTACCTTGTTGAGTGTAACATGTCAAGACAAAAGCCCACACTGAATGTATTATAGATTTTTTGTTAAGACCTTAATATTACCTGATATAGTTAATTCAAAATAACTATTTGTCTTAATGACATATTTTTCAGAGTAAATTGATTGCAGGAAAAATCATTCCAGCTATAGCAACCACAACAGCTTTAGTAGTTGGTCTTGTGTGTATAGAATTGATCAAAGTAAGTTGTCTAGTCAGAATACTTTAAGGATGTTGCAGACTGCAGATATTATCTTTCCTTTCAGAAACTAAGATGTATGGTTTTAGTGAGCTATTACATGACAGGTGCCACATGTGAGGCAGGAAATGGTTCCCAGAGTTCACCCCAAGTTCTTGGGGTTTGTGTTGATCAATCTCTGGTTTTTCTGTGTAGTGGTTTGTTATCATTATTTGTCTTTTCCTCATTTTGTTTTTGGTTGTTTATTGGACTTGGGATTTTTGATTGCCTACTTGACATCTTCTTTCTCATTTAGAAATTGGTACTGCTGCATTGTTGTCAACTTCATTCTTTAATGAAAAAGATGGTTGATTTAGCATAAACAGAAACAGTTAAATATTAATCATACAGAGTTTTAACCACCTTGATAATACATTAAATAGGACCCTACCTATTTTCAACAAAAGCCTTATATTAATCGTGCTGTCACAAATGGTGTCCACTCTGTATATGTTGAGTACCATGAGTTAATTATGTGTCTTGAGTGAGGTTGGAATCTTTAGCAGTTTTTGTCAAGGTCATAATATTAGTTTAATGTCACAGATCTTAAGTCCATGGTTGCAAATGTCACAGTGAGGTCTGATATCCTTATTGATAAATACTAAATAGTCTTTTTTGCTACCTTTCTTTTTTAAACTTAAGTGACAAGTATCTAAAGACTCCTCTCTTCAGAGAACACTTAAAGCTGAAGCGAGATAGCAAGAAATGACCCTTATATCAAAGGTATCCAGTTTCTTAATATTTGTAAGTCTGATGGACAAAGTACTTCAGATAAGTTTGAATTAAAGTTTCATCGACAAAGTGCTTTAGTTTAGTTTAATAATAGTTTTGTACACAAAGTACACAGTTTAGTTTGAATAAACGTTTTGTACACGAAGAATTTCAGTTTAGTTTTGAATAAATGTTTCTACACAAAGTTCATCAGCTTAGTTTGAATAAGATGACTATAAGTTTAGTCCACAGAGTTGTTCCATTTAGTACAAATAACAATATAAGATAACTTAAGGTGAATAACAATCTTATAGAAGCTCCAAGATAAAACTTTGAAATAAAACCATTATTCCTTCAAAAATTGAATATTGCTTTTATATGTTTAGTGTCAATCATCAAAAGAAAATGTCTTTGCTTAAAACTAAGTTTTTACAATTTCTAATTTCTGTTTCAGATAGTGCAAGGTCAAAAGAAAATGGAGACATACAAGAATGGTTTTCTGAATTTGGCATTGCCATTCTTTGCCTTCTCAGAACCTATTGCAGCCAAAAAGAGCAAGGTATATTTAACCTGAAAATATTATTTGTGGTCATGATTTAAGAATATAAATGTCATTATCAACACTAGTAATACTAAATGATGCAGTAATTTACTGTTACTCGTATATTTATCAATACATTGATCATTATTTTATTTGCTTCATAGGATGAACTTTAAGAAACACTTTTTTATGCCCCCGGAGCAGGGGAGGGGGCATTAAGTGTTACCCTTGTCCATCTGTACGTCCAAAAATTAGTTTCAGTTCTTCAACTTAAGTTTGCCTCAACCAAATGGTATGAAACTTATACACAATGCTTATTACCACAAAACTCAGATCAAGTTCGAATTTGGGTGGCGTCACTTTTACCGTTGTAGAGTTATGCGCATTTACAAATGGAAAAATTGTTGAAATTTTGTTCAGTTCTCCAACTTAAGTTTGCCTCAACCACATGGTTTGAAACTTATACGCAATGCTTATTACCACAAAATTCGGATCAAGTTTGAATTTTGGTGGCGTCACTTTTACCGTAATGGAGTTATGCCCCTTTGCAAAAGGAAAAATTGCTGAAATTTTGTTTCGTTCTCCAACTTAAGTTTGCCTCAACCAATTGGTATGAAACTTATACACAATGCTTATTACCACAAAACTCGGATCAAGTTCGAATTTGGGTGGCATCACTTTTACTGTTCTCGAGTTATGTTCGCTTATAACGTTATATGCAAGCTGGGGCATCACCTGTGTCCCATTGACATATTCTCCATGTATTTGGTGATGAAATGACTCCAACAAATGGAAACATGAAAAGCATTTTATTGACTGATCTATCATTTCAAACAATATATAAGCATGATTGAAGTTTTGTTTTAAATTGATAAACTACTTTTATTTGACAGTATAATGATGAAGAATTCACACTGTGGGATAGATTTGAAGTTCAAGGTGACATGACCTTACAGGAATTATTAGATTACTTCCAGGTAAGGATCATTTTGATTTGAAGAATTTAAGTTAGAAAATTACCAATTATGCCACTAGAGTGGTTGAAACTTGGTCTCACTAAGCCATTGTTCTAAATACACTTTTCTTGTGTAGCTTATCATTCATAAACTTGAAACGGTTTTAAATCTTTCAAAGTAGGAAGTTATTAAAACAAGTGATGGAGCATAATGAACAAAAGAAATATGGTCTTTAAAAAAAAATTATATGAAAAATGTAACATTTTCATTTATCCAAAGTAGAAAAGCACGAGACTAAGATAACATTTAAAGAAACAATATAAAAAAAATAATGAGATTATAATATCTCAAAGGGAAATTTAGATGATCACTGCATTCAAAAGATGTTTCACGGATATATTTGTTTTTAGTTCATGTGTCTATGAATGTTGAATCTAAGGAACTACACATCATAAATGACCGATATGTTGTGAGTTCCTTCATTTTGATATTTATATGCAAAAAAGTGTCAAGTTTGTATTGCTAAGGTTAAGGTCAAGGTAAATTCAGTCATTGTAGAATATTTTGCAGTGTACAAGTGTTGGATTGATAATAAAAGTTCCTGAAAAAAAATATGTCATTTTATATTTGATCCATTTTTGACTTAGTTTCGTATTATGGTCCGCATGCTACATATCACTGAGGAAATATATTGTTTTGGTGAATATTATTAGATAGGTAAAGAGGGTCTACAAAATGAAGTCATATTGACCTATATTTTATGAAAGAGCAAAGGAAACAATATTTTACATTAGGTCCAGATCTATGTAACTTAAAGAGTCATACAATAACTATATTTTGTATGATAGTTTGAAAGATTGATAGAATTAAGATTTGGGGGGAACTTCAATTGAACTGCAAACAACAACAGAAAAAATTGAAAAACAATATCAAAAGGTCAATAAATTTATATACAACAACAACAAAAATAATCACCATGATTACAGTTAATAATAAGTGTTAAAGTGGCGATTCAGTCAAATTTCATACTTATATCAGTATTTACTAAGTAAGTACTTTTAAAAAAAATGTTTTTGAATGATTGACTTGTTTTAACTCTGTAAAATACTTGTACATTGGAATCTTTGATGAAAAAGCATAGATTTTTGTAATGATGACTGAACTTGATATTGTATCTTTCAGAAAAATTACAACTTAGAGATAACAATGTTGTCACAGGGAGTTTCCATGCTGTTTTCATTCTTCATGGCACCAGCAAAAGCTAAAGAAAGGAAAGCTTTACCGTAAGTTATCTTTGCTTACACTACAGCAAGAAAGAGAGTTAAACAAATTTGTTTGCCTGTTAGAAAAAAATTAAATGGTCTTCCAAACAATACAGAAATATACAAAAATATTTCTGCGTTGTTTGAATAAAAAAATAGTTCCTTATATATGAAATTTCAAGCTTTAACATTTCACATGTTGTCAATATCGTAATTGGTTGTAAAGGTCAAAGTTTTGATCTTGAGGTTTGTAAAATTAGATATTTATCCAATATAGATTGATTATTTGACATTGAATATTCAGAATTTGGCTTTAAAAGACCATCTATGTATAAATTATAATTTTGATATTGCGATGATTGTGGTATTGAATAGAACAAATGTGTTTTGTATATTGTTTTCTTTATAGAAGTCTTTTTATTTCTGTAGGTTAACAGAAGTAGTGAAGAGGGTATCGAAAAAGAAAATTCCAAGTTATGTACGAGCTCTAGTCTTAGAAATTTGTTGTTATGATAAGGATGGAGAAGATGTTGAAGTTCCATACATTAAATTCAATCTACCAAAACAGTGATAGTATATGACAATTAGTTGTACAGTTATCATTCTATTACATTCATCAACTGCTTCATTTTCCAGCCAAAAGCAAAACGCATATCCTCTTTCCTAGAATTCACAAAAGCAACAGAAATAATCCTTACTGATGAAGTATCATAGAATTGCATATTAAATATAGATTTGAATCTATGAATAAAAGTTCTGCATATATTATGTATGTTTTGGACAAATACCTTTGTCAGAATTATGTATACTACAAAAATGTTAATTTATTGATATAAGAATATGAATGTTTAAACATTATTGTAAAATTAGTTGATATCCACAGTTGTCTTCATTGAAATTTACTGGTTGATAATCTCATATGTGATTAATATTTGATCCATCATTTTTTTGTATTTTGCACCCCTCATTATGTGTTTCATTTCTTGTTATAGAATTGTTTATTTCACTTTCAATGTGTAAATCACATTAAATAAGCTTAGGTGTTGGAAAAATAGTTCAGACATCATCTCCTTTGTGGGCAATATGAATATCAAGCTTTTGATCCAGTATTTTGGTCTGGATCTTGCTATTCTCTCTTTGTAGTAGTTGACACATGTACAATTTCTAGTGGGTAAACAAAATATTGTTATAAAATTTTAAAACATTTCTTGCACAAAAGAATTTTTAAAAATATAATGGAAGACCAAGCCATTCCTGTTTCACAAATGCAAAAAGATTATGTTTTGCATGTGGATGATTTTGAAAATTTAGAAAATTTATTCCTGAACAGACTTTGAGTATTGAAGTATTTTTAAAACACCACAAAAGATAATTTTAGATAAAATGTGCACTAATTTAGTTATTCTAACAGTACTTAATCAACAATAAACTTAAGTAATATTTGGATCAGAGATTCCTAAAAGTTAACATCAAATCCACCAAAACTAAATATACATATGTATTTTATATCCCTGTTTAGGTAGAAAGATTTGATTTTCTGAAAACACCCCAAAAATGAGAGAAGATCAAACTGACATGATAAAATATTAAATATGGTCATGCTACCTAGAGTGTAGCCCTTCGATTTAATCAAATTTACCAAACCATTTAAAAATGAAAGGAATTTGCTGTTTTGTAAAATATGCAGAAACAATATAATTATACTCTTGAAAGTAAATTTTTATTGAATTGTGGATTCTCTATTATTAAATATCGGGGGAAGCATATGTACTCACTAATCACAATGTTAATATTCAATTGTAGTTTTTGTTTGTTCAAATATTGTGTTAAATGTGTTCTTAAAGTATAGTCTGGAAAGAGTCTTACGGTCAGAACCCAAGTTTTAAAAAAGTACCTGTCAGCATTTTATTATTTAAAGATCGCAAACTCCTAGTTATTGTGCTTTTTACAATTTCATTATAATATTTAAGGTCAAAACCTGGTTTTCTTGTCCCTTATTCTGATCTTTATTGAAGGTCAGGTTTATGTGATGTTAAAATTGCCAAAGTTGTGAAATTTCCTGCTTAAAGTAGTTGGTATCTTTTTAACACGGTCCCTTTGCTGGAGAGGTAGAAATTTAACTCTAGCAATATTTTTGTGACAAAGAAACTGAGTCCTCTTACTAACCAAATTGATCTGTTTCTGAATACAAATGATCTTGTGAAGTCTTTTTTCAAGTAAAGAATATTTTTAAAATGTTTTCTCAAATGTTATCTTTTGAAAAGCAACATGTCAGCATGGAACAGTGGACATAATGCATCAAAGTTTGTGAGTTAGAAAAGTACAGATTTCTTGTACATTGATATGTATATATGATGTTTTGTAGGCAGAGCCCATTTTCATACTTGAATATTTGTTTGTGCAAATAAAACTATTATTTTTCTATGTGAACAATGTGTATACGATATAGATCCAATTTTTTTCTACAGTGCATAAAGAAAGAATTTGATTGAAGAAAAGATATGCATTTTTTCTTTTTTGTTAAACATGTCCTTTATTTTGATGACCTTTCTCTTAAGGTAAATAGTGCTATTGTAAAACATTTTTTTTTAAAAGTGCTTATTAGAAAAAAATTAAGATTATTGAATAAATGCATTTTATGATATGAGATGAAAATCTTTTCGGTATGCATATCATAAGTTTGTAATTCTTTCTGGACAGCTGAAATTATAATTGGTTTTCTTTTTCTGTCTATTATTCTGTTGTCTGGTTATACAGATAGGAATAAACAGAAATTACAAATTAAAATGCACTAGTAGAAATGTGTCTTTGCTTTTATTATTACCTCTGTCTGTACGTCCATCCATTCGTCAGTCAGTCCATCTGTCCCATGAATATTTTTCGCCACATCTTTCTCAGGAACTACATTACAAGGATTTCTGATATTTGGTTTCAGGGTTTGTACGAGTCAGCTATACCGTGTGATGCGTTTTCAGATTCATGACTCAACAACTTCCTGTTCACCAAAATATTGGGGCAGGGGTATCATCAGTGAGCAGTAGCTCTCAGTTTCACTTGTTATACCTGCTGTGAAGGAGGAGTTTTACCTCTGTCTGTCCCATGAAAATTCCTTCACATTTTCTCTGGAACTACAAATCAAGAGCTTTCAAATTTGTTAAATGGCTTGATGTGAACATGCTGTTCTGTATAATGCATTTTCATTAAGTGAGCAGTAGCTCACAGTTCTACTTGTTTTGTTTGGGATAAATGTTTTGAAGTTTGTTGCAGATGGGAGACAAAGGAATTGTGTTCTGACAGTGATGGTGGTGTTAATCAGATATACAAAGCTTAACAGAAGCCAGATATACCACATAGAAATAAGATGTCTTGTTGAGTTAGTTTCTGTACTTTACCTAATTTTTTTATTCAATCACTTGATTTTACCTATGATCATCTACTGTCTGCTGTACTGAACATACATGGACAATTGCCAAAATGTGAAGGTCAAGACTGAATCTCTAGGTATTGAGGCTGAAAAAGGCAACCAATATATAAGAAAATTGACTTGTAGTAATTGTGCAATACATTTGTATTTTGTCTGGCAGTCGAGCAGTTGGGAAGTATGCAGGTGGATCAGACAGCGATTTGCAGTAGAGCAGCGGATTGAAAACCAAAACATATAACCAAAATCTGTCAAATCTTCAACAATGGACCATCACCAACATTGTAGACTTAGAAAAGAATTCTTGACCAAAAATCTGTATTTGATGATCTTGTATTGCTGATCATTTTTTATGCCCCCACCGTAGCGGAGGGGACATTAAGTTTAACCCTTGTCCGTCTATACGTACGTCCCAAAATTGGTTTCCAAATGTTATGAAACTTAAGCTCAATGCTAATTACAACAAAACATAGATCTAGTTTGAATTTTGGTGGCGTCACTTTTACCGTTCTAGAGTTTTGCCCCTTTACAAATGGAAAAATTGCTAAATTTTTCTTTCCGTTCTCCAACTTTAGTTTGCTTAAACCAAATGTTATGAAACTTATACCCAATGCTTATTACCACTAAACATAGATCCGGTTTAAATTTTGGTGGTGTCACATTTACTGCCCCTTTAAAAATGGAAAAATATTTGAATTTTTCGTTTCTGTTCTCTAACTTCAGTTTGCCTCAACCAAATGTTATGACACTAAAACACAATGCTTATTACCACAAAACACAGATCAAGTTTGAATTTTGGTGGCATCACTTTTACCGTTCTAGAGTTATGCCCTTTACAAATGGAAAAATTATTGAGTTTTTATACGACCGCAAAAATTAATAAATTTTTGGTCGTAAATTGGTATGACGTTGGCGTCGTCGTTGTCGTCGTCGTCGTCGTCCGGCGTCATCCGAAGACACATTGGTTTTCGCACTCTAACTTTAGTTTAAGTGAATGGATCTCCATGAAATTTTACCATAAGGTTCAATACCATGAAAGGAAGGTTGGGATTGATTTTGGGGGTTATGGTACCAACAGTTAAGGAATTAGGGGCCAAAAATAAGCATTTTTGTAACTTCCAGACAATAACTTGTGGGTAGGTGTATGGATCTCTCTGACATTGTACCACAAGGTTCCATATCACAAAGGGAAGGCTGTAATTGATTTTGGGGGTAATTGCCTCAAAATTTTAGGAATTAGGGGCAAAAAAAGGGGCAAAAAACAAGCATTTTTCTAGTTTCATGACAATAACTTGTGTGTAAGTGTTTGGATATTTCTGAAATTGTACTACAAGGTTCCATATCACAAAGGGAAAGCTGGAATTGAGTTTGGGGGTAATTGCCCTAAACGTTTAGGAATTGGGGGCCAAAAAGGGGCCAAAAATAAGCATTTTTCTAGTTTCCAGACAATAACTTGTGTTCAAGTGTATGGATCTCTCTGAAATTGTACTGCAAGGTACCATACCACAAAGGGAAGGCTGGGATTGAGTTTGGGGGTGATGAATCATAAGGGGGTTCAAATAATTGGGGGGGGGGATTTTTTTTTTTCTTTTTTTTTCTTTTTTTCATTTTTTTTTTCTTTTAAAATTTTCCATTTTAAGTTGGTTATTTCTGATTTATATTTAAAAGCAAATAATAATGATATGGTAGGAGATACACACCAAACAGGATGTGTAAATTATTATATAATAAGTATTGTGCAATAGCAAGAAATTTTCAATTGCACAGTATTGCACAATAGCAAGAAATCTTCAATTGCACAGTATTGCGCAATAGCAAGAAATCTTCAATTGCACAGTATTGCGCAATAGCAAGAAATATCCAATAGCACAATATTGCGCAATAGCAAGAAATTGTCAATTGTACAGTATTGCGCAATAGCAAGAAATATTCAATTGCACAGTATTGTGCAAAAGAAGATACTTCATATAAATTGCTTATTTCTTGATCAATTTCAATGGGGTTTTATTCTTGAATTCTTGGGGTTCTTTAATATGCTGAATCTAACCGTGTATTAAGTTTTTGGATTTTGGGCCCCGTTTTTAAATTGGTCCACATTGAGGTCCAAAGGGTCCAAAATTTAACTTTGTTTGATTTCATCAAAAATTGAATTATTGGGGTTCTTTGATATGCCGAATCTAACCGTGTATTTAGATTCTTAATTTTTGGTTCCGTTTTCAAATTGGTCTACATTAAGGTCCAAAGGGTCCAAAATTAAACTTAGTTTGATTTTAACAAAAATTGAATTTTTAGGGTTCTTTGATATGCTGAATCTAAACATGTATTTAGATTTTTGATTATGGGCCCAGTTTTCAAGTTGGTCCAAATCGGGGTCCAAAATTAAACTTTGTTTGATTTCAACAAAAATTGAATATATGGGGTTCTTTGATATGCTGAATCTAATCATGTATTTAGATTTTTGATTTTTGGGCCCCGTTATCAACTTTGTCCACATTGAGATCAAAAGGGTCTAAAATAAAACTTGTGGTTCTTTGATATGCTGAATCTAACCATGTATTTAGATTTTGGATATTGGACCATAATAGGTGAATGTCCAATTTAAAATTTTTAAGTTCTTAGACCACATTCATTCTGTGTCAGAAACCTATGCTGTGTCAAATATTTAATCACAATCCAAATTCAGAGCTGTATCAAGCTTGAATGTTGTGTCCATACTTGCCCCAACTGTTCAGGGTTCGACCTCTGCGGTCATATCAAGCTGCGCCCTGCGGAGCATTTTATTTGTTTCTGTTCTCTAACTTTAGTTTACCTCAACCAAATGTTATGAAACGTATACACAATGCTTATTACCACAAAACAATGATAAATTATGAATTTGGGTAGCGACACTTTTACCCTTCTTGAGTGATGTCCCTTTATAACGTTAAATGCAAGTGGGGCCATCATCGGTGTCCCATGGAAACATTCCCCATTTATCAATTTAACAGAATCTCTCCATCTTCCTTAGTTTTTGCCCAAAACGCAAAAAAAAAAACGGTTAAGAAAAAAACATTATTTTCATTTTTCTGTACTTTACTGATAAATGGACATATTTTTATGTCCCCGCTGTAGCAGTGGGGGCATTAAGTTTTACCCTTGTCTGTCTGCATGTACGTACGTATGTACGTCCCAAAATTGGTTTTCCGTTCTCTAACTTGAGTTTGCCTCAACCAAATGTTATGTAACTTAAACACAATGCTTATTACCACAAAACACAGATCAAGTTTGAATTTTGGTGGCGTCACTTTAACCCTTCTAGAGTTATGCCCCTTTATAAATGGAAAAATTGCAAAGATTTTAGTTTACGTTCTCTAACTTAAGTTTGCCTCAACAAAATGTTATGAAACTTATACACAATGCTTATTACAACAAAACACAGATCAAGTTTGAATTTTGGTGGCGTCACTTTAACCGTTATAGAGTTATGCCCCATTAAGGAGTCGTCTAAGGATTTCGGCCATGGATCTTGTCTTGCTGATCATTTTTGCTATAAAGTTTTTCTCTACTAGAGTTTTCAAAATAATAAGCAAAAATGGGAAAAAAAATGATAGATTTCATCATTTAAGGGCAATTACTCCTATACAAAGTCATCTGACAGATTATTTAAATGGACAGTAGGTAGATCTCAACATTCTGAACAATTCTTTAACTGTCAGATTTTTCTCTACAATTTTCAAGATAATAGACCAAACTTGTTATATTTAGCAATGTCCGCCATGTTGTTTGGCAGGCGGGATCATCAGACAATTTTTAAAACAAGACTTTACAGCTCACTTGGACCTACAGGCCGGACTTTATACTGGGTCTTTTTCTAGACAAATGCAAAGGAGATATTTGTATATCATAGATTCCAACTATGAAAAAAATCATAGTTTGGTGACCGTGTTGATTGCATCAATCCCATTACACTTTAAGTAAATGGTACCACAGATTTAGTTAGTCTACTTCACAACTTGATTTGCATGTAAGATTGGTAGTGAGGGTCAGTGGGGACTGGGACTAAAAGAGGGACGAAAGATACCAGAGGGACAGTCAAACTCAGACTAATGGATGAATGTATTAGTCCCAGGTTGAGACTAGAGATGATTTCGATTTTCACAATTGTGAACGTTCCCTTTCTATGTAACAATCGAGAAGTACTTGCATATGAAATTCCATCTGCCATTAGGCTTTTGTTTATCATGATTTCCTTGATAGACGGTTGCTGCTTGCAAGGAAGCTAATGAACTATGGATTCTTAATGGTAAAGTTGAAGTCATCTTCGAAAATTTTACATATTCCATCATAATTTGGTTGCCCGTTATGGAATATCTGTCATAGATGACAAAACATGTTCCAATTGTAG